CGGAAGATAAACTAGTGCAGTACAGGGATGAACAATGAGAAGAGGAACTGAACACAACGTATAAAACACTACACCTGACAAAGAAGTCAAGAAGAGTGCGCGCAAAAACAAAACACACTTCACACACTACACACTGGCAAGTGAAGCAGAACAGACTGCAGGTAGGAGAGACCTGACAACATTGTATCAAATGACCAGCTCACTTACTTACTATCTGGGAGGGAAGAGATCAACAGAACACAGATGAAACCAATAAAAGATGATCAAGGAAATCTAATTACTAAAGGAGAGAAACAAAGGAAACAATGGGCAGACCACTTCAAAAGGCTCTTGAATTGACCACCACCACCACCGGCATGTTGTTCACAGAACTACTAGTGAACACAAGTCCTTCGAAGAACATCGAAGGCCTGAACGCCATAAAGCTACTGAAATGCAGCAAAGCAGTTGGACCACATAAAGTCCCACCAGAAGCACTGAGAACATACTCACACCACACCACTAGTGCACAAGGGTTTGGAAGGAAGGCAAGGCACCTGCCCATCAATTCGAAGAAGGGCTAACTTGTCAAACTCTCAAAGAACCTCCACCTAAGGCTTTACCAGAAATGGCAAAGAATCATGCTCCACTCCTGTACACCAAAAGCAAGCAAAATATCATGCCACATCATCCTGGAGAGAATGAAGGATGAGCTGCATCCAAAACTACGACGCAAAAGGCTGGCTAGCTCGATTCAAGAAGAACAAATCATGTGCGGATCATCAAACTGAAACACTACGCTACGCATCATCATCGAACGCAGCACAGAATGTCAGTCAACTGGATCTCTACCTCAACTTCATCCACTTTGAAAAGGCCTTCGACAGCCTTGACCGAGAAGTAATTCGATGGGCAACTGCTTCATCACCACGGTTGTAGTGCCACTAACCTTTATCAAACTCATTCAACAACCATATGAAAAGGCCACACGCCAAGTGATTCACATTGGGAAGGAAGCTCAGTGACACCTTTGAAGTGAAGACAGGAGTAGGACAAGACTGCCGTCTACTATCACCCACAATCTTCCTGATTGTGTTCGACTGAACTGGATCATGCAGCAAACCGTGAGGAGCGAGAACATGGATATAACCTGGCTCGACCGATGAAAAGCGACTAGAAGATTTAAATTTCGCCAACGATGATGATTGATGTCTAATGTCTTGTGGCACAAACTCAAAGATCTACAGGCGAAAACCAACAAGTCGACAGAAGAGGCGGGGCAGCGAAAATGGTGCTTCAGGTGAATGTAGAGAAGGTGGGGGTGATGAGGATACCCAACCAACATCACCACCAGCAACAAACTCCAATCTCCACTAACAGGAAAAACTTAAAGGAAGTAGCCTCTTTCACCTATCTAGGCAGCACCATTTCAACTACAGGTGGCACAGATGAGGACGCGAAAACCAGGATCGGAAAAGCAAGACTGGTACTCAATAACCTGAAATCAGTCTGGAGATCTACTCCACTCCACTGCAGTGCACTCAGTATCAAGCGTGAACAACATCCGGATTTTCAACACCAACGTCAAGTCAATGCTGCTATATGGTTCAGAGGCCTGGCATTTTCAACAAACTATAGACATTCATCAACACAACTGCCTATACTGGCTCGTTACTGAAGATCAGATAGCCAGAATAGTAGGAATAAGGAACAAGGAACTCTGGCTTGTGGGCAACGAACCAACCAAGAAAGAACCTATCGCTCAACAAATATGCAGTTGAAGGAAGTGGAGATGGATTGGGCATGCACTGAGGAGACCATTCGGGGACATCATGCACCAGGCCAGGCGGTCGAATGGAATGCAGATGGGAAGCGACGAGTTGGGCGTCCGAGACGAGGGTGACATGGAAGAGATTGTGTAAGGAACAAATGAAAGCTTGTGAGCAGTCGTGGAGCGAGGTTTAAAAGACTGAAGAGAAGAGAGTGGAATGGAGACGTGCTACTAAAGCCCCATGTTCCACTAGGAACCCAAGGGACAAATTATATATATATATATATATATATATATATATATATATATATATATATATATATATATATATCCCGATAGAAAACAAATCTTACTGGTAGGGTAAGGTTTCATAGATAGTGCCAAAACACTATCAAGGGTCCGTTATACTTATAAACTAATTTCCCTAAAACTCATTCCTTTCAGCACTTAACTTTTAAGCAATGAAGCCAAGGTTCAAATTCTGTCTCACCTACTTCACTGTGTGTAATTGAGCATTAAGACTTGACATAACAACCATGGCTAATAGCGTAGTGCATAGACATGTACCAGGCTGAGTTGAATCTTGAAAAAATTTCGCCTTTAGTCAGATGATAAGTAAACACATCGAGAGCAAAGTGAAAAAAAATACACATTACAACTATCGGTTGCCTTTTTTTAGTGTTTGAGATAGGTGTGAAAGCTTAACACTACCGGATGTTGTCAATGTTACATTGAATACAGTAAAGCGGTGCTTCATGCTGGATAGATGGAGAATGTGTTAGCAGAAAGCTTGAAAGTATGTTTAACTGTAAAGAAACCAATAAAAACTAAGACGAGGTTCAAACTCATGTAAATTAAAGTTAGAGACATTGACCTATCTCGATGACAACTGATCATTTGGATAGTAATCAGTATCATTCCATCAGATCATTAGAGCTTTCTGCATCCTACAAGTCAATTTCAAAGAAGAATTCAATAAGCCAACTGATACTTTCAGTGAATAACACAATTCTAGAATGTTAATAAAAAGGTTAAGAGTATTGACTAACTAAGAAGAGTTTTATATTCCGAAATATGGAGAAATAAGACAGTTTAAAACTGTCACCTAGTAAAGCTACTTGATGTGTTATTTTCTCATAAAAAGAATAAATTACATTTTTACGGTAGTATTCATCATAAACTGACATCAGTTGGAGAACCCTTTTAAAACCAGGAAGCATTGGTGTTTCATCTTAGTATGAGACTTCTCAGTGGCATGTCCCTACAATTCCTTCAGATCTTGTGGTGAACACGTTAACCATTGAACCATTGGGTTGGAGTATAATAATCAACAGTTTCCAAGTTCAATCAATTTGCAATACAGCAAGACCATCATCCATTAAGGTCTTCAGTTAGCATGCGCTTCACTTTCAACTGGTTGACCTCACAGGTTACGGTTTCGCATTAGAACTCCATGATATTCATCTCGAAGGAGGTTATGAACAGAATAGTAAACAATCTTTATACTAGAACAAACTGTGGACAAGAGGTGCACAACATAGCATAGAAGTACATTTCTTCAAGTTGTTACACTTCACATCGAAAAAAAGATGAACAAAAGGTTATGTCTGATGTCACACAAACTCCAAGATCTACAGGCGAAAACTAACAAGTTGACAGAAGAGGCGAGGCAGTGAAGACGGGACTTCTGTCAGGTGAACGTAGAGAAGACAGAGGTGATGAAGATACCCAACCATCACCACCACCAGCGGTAAAAATATATAAAGGAAGTTGCCTCTTTCACCTACCTAGGCAGCATCCTTTCAACTACAGGCGTCATAGGCACAGCTGAGGATGTCAAAGCCAGGTTCGGAAAGACAGTAATACAGGCCTTCCTTCATTAACCTGAAATCAGTGTGGAGGTCTACTACACTCCAGTGCACTTCACTCAGCATAAAGTGTGAACAAGATCCGGATTTTCAACACTAATTTCAGACAAGTCAGTCCTTCTATATGGTTTAGAAACTTGGCGTGTCCCGAAAACTATTTCCAACAAACTACAAATATTCGTCAATAGCTGCCGCCTACGCTCGCTGGCTACTGAAGATAAGATGACCGGAAAGAATAAGCAACAAGGAACCCACCTTGGCAACGAGCCAACCAAGAGCTCATCGCCTAACGAATATGCAGAAGAAAGTGGAGATGGATTGGGCATACACTGAGAAGGCCGACTGGGGACATCACACACCAGGCCAGTCCCTCGAATATGACCTGCATGGGAAACGACAAGTTGGGTGTCCAAGTGTGACATGGATGATATCGTATGAGGAAGAAATGAAAGCTTGTGGGTAGTCGTGGAGCCAGGTTCAAAAGACTGCAGAGGAGAGAGTGCAATGGCGCCTTTCTACTAAAGCCATATGCTCCACTAGGAACCCAAGGGACAAATAATAATAATCATAAGACGTTAAGCCATAAACAACCACGGAAAGAATCATACTAGAAATTTCGCTTAGCATAAAACTTATCGATATTGAACTTCAAATCAGTGTTACCTTGGTGAAATTCGCGTTAAAAAACATGAAAGGAATTAGTTTCATCATGAGGATACAGCTACAATCCAACCAAAAGACTACTGGTACAAACCCCATCCAATTTATCAAGGTTTAGGTAGCTAAGTAGTACAGTTTTAAGAAATGATAAAGAATGAGACACAGGAAGGAATGTTTACTATGACATTTTATACAGTATTAATGAAGTATTTTACACTTTCCATTAAAATAATCATTTGCACAACATGTTTCATTTTCTTTTCTTCTCCTATCTTAATTTGCTTTATACGCCTAAATTGTCTCTTGTGTTTGTCTGGGCATAATCTGTGCCCATTGCTGCTAATTGCCTATAACTTCCGCTGACCTCTCGATATATATACTACTTATATCCTTTCTTATCAGTAGTAACCACTTCACAAGTATTTGACATGCTATAAATATGGTTTATTACCATTTAGTACACTAATCATTCTGTGTTGAATAAACTCCATTCTTATTTCATTGTTCAAAGGATGTAATGAGTTAATTACTAATGAATGAATAAGTTCTCAAACAACAGGAGATGAGAGTAATATAGCGGTTAAAGATGTTTTTAGCGATGAAACTCATCTTTATAAAGAATTCAATCCACTTGAAATACATCCAACATGAAAAAAAATAGTACCGATGATAGTATGAATCAGATAAATACACATGGATATACTACATAAAAAGTTAACAACCTTTCAAGTGTAGACCGTGCAGTTGGAGGTGGATCTCCATTAGAGGAATGTATACAATCATTACCATTGGATGACTGATTGTTAACACTATTGCCAGCTAATAATGTTTTATTTGTAAAAAAGAAGAAAATAGTTGCATTAACATGTGTAGTAGAATTTACCTTTTTCTATTGTTGTATCGCACAAATTGTTGCCATTCGATTTAGAGTTTTCTCTTACTTCAGCTATTTGTAAGATAAGTTGAACAAAGGTTGCCATTTTCATTCGTTTAAAAATTTCATTATCTTTCATTTTATAATCTGTTTTGTTTTTAAATTGAAAATTGTATAATTATTAGTTGAATTACTTTCACGTAGTTCTTCCATTTTCTTAAGATATTTCGATAAACTTGCCCCTGTGTCGATAGTTGGTTGAATATCTTCATATTTTGGATTCCTTGGAATTACTTTCTGTAATGGCTATCATAGAAGGTAAATGAATAATTAGGTGAAAACAAAGTGATGGTATTCTAGGCAAAAGCTTTGATAATATTTTATGCTGAATACTTACTTACGGATAACTAATTTCAATAACAATAGTTGGTAAGAGTTAGCAACGAGATTCAGGACCTATCTCTTCAAACGGCATAGTATTTATTTACTAGACCACTGAGTCATGATAACCGCTGCTTGTGCGATGGGTATAGCTTAAATGTTGTTATTCGGAATTTCCCGTCGTTGATGGGACCGAAATAGTCTGTCTCCAAAGGCTTATAGGCTTTTGTGCGGATGCTTCGAGACCGGTCAATTCAATCCAGTCAACAACGGAATAATACGAGCAACATCCTGAGCACTATACTCATTGAACAAGAAGCGACTTTTGTGATTCGGTGACTTACTGAATAACGCTCTGGCGTTGGAAGCGATTGGACCCAGGTTACAGTCTTACTGGGAACAAAACCCCCCACTGGTATGGAGGGGTGACGGGTCCTGAGTAGGACAAAACTCGTGACCTGGATTCCACTATCCATCGTTAGTACAAAATTTAAATGATAGATAATATTGAGGCATCGGTGTAGGAACCCATAAGCCAAAAGAGATCGGTCAATTCGGTCCAATCAAGGACGGGATCATACAAGCAACATCACAATAACAATAGAAATTTTATGACAGTGTTGTGAGGGATGAAAATGTCATGTTAAAATGAAGAAACCCAAAAAAGATAGCGAATGAACCATCGACTCCACTAGGATGTCAAACAGGTCATATTCTTCAGTCAGGAGCCCTGATTTCTACAGACGACAATGGTGGAATTTCACAAATAGGTAGCTACTGTTACAAATCGGTGAGCTGATACATTTTTTTAATGTTAGGCTGTAAGCGATGCTTACTTAATGTATGGGGGCTTATAACACTATCCGGCTACCTACACCACAGTTGGCGAAGTGGGAATTGCATCTGACATCCGTTGCTGAATTGGATCTCCACAGAATTGGAACCACCTATTTCATTCAGATCCTGGACTGTACATTTTCAAGGATATGCTTTGACCTCAAAAAGCTTACTTTTGGAATAGTGTTCCTTCTGAGTTATGCAACAGATAAGAAATCGCTAATTGGGATATGGCTGGAAATAAATGTGAAAAATACTGTTCCCATTACTACCATTCGGTATTTCTTTATTCACAGCTTTCCAATAATCTTTAGTATTTCTTCCCATAGTTTATAAACTCTTTTTGTAAGCTGTTTTGTAATTCTAAGTTAGTATTCACCACGGACTGATTTTATTTGGAGTATCACTAAAACCGCAGGAACACTGGCCAGCAATTTTGTCCTACATGGGTCTCCTTCGCCGTGCGCAACCATGACTGTAGTAAGGATCGGGCCAACGACCGTCAGGTTTCAAAGTGAACGTATTATCACTAAGCCACTAAGGTGCTTTCCAAACTTGACTACTTCTATGCATTTTGTTTGAAACAAGATACACTTCCGGTACGTAGAACATATTGTGTTTATAAATTGAATGGTATTTAAACATCAATCGAAGGAATGATGACCACTACAGATGAAACGGTTCGTATACCTGTAACTGAAAACTTGTAGTGAACAACTAGAGAATTAATACTTTAAGTACAGAAACGCAGGTAAAATAAAATAGATCACCGAAACTCCAGCGTCTTGAATAGATGATAATGTATGCCTAAAACTTTAAGTATTCCCATTACAAATAACTAACATTCATTCATCTCCCGGTGATTCATAAACCAACGTAGAACTTCGAATTAAAGTGCGTCGTTTCAAATTGCTACCTTTCACAGTGTTAGTCGGTTAGAAGCAATCGGTAGGAAGCCATAGACTAGGGTTTCGTGCTTGTTGGAACTCGTCAGCAGGACGTATTTGCAACCTCGAGCGAACTAAGGTCTCCTCTGAGACTCAAACCTGCGTCACCCAGTGTTGTTGTCAGTGACGTTACAATTAAGCTATTCAGGCCTTGCTGACGAGTGCCAACAAGCATGAAACTTAGGTCCAGTCCATCCTGCCATTTGCCTCCAACCAACTAACATCTATCGACATGAATCGCGATGCTGAGCTTCCTAACTTGGTGGTCACATTGCAAAATGATCGATGGAATTCGGTCAGCACTCAGGGCAAGACAACATGAAATTAGTCGCTTTCCCGAAACCAATCAGTACACTCCACAGTGGTATACACAGAAAAAGTGGATAGGAAGGACTGATATCAAAGCAGAAAAAGGTGCATGGGCAGAGAGAAAATTCTTAAAAAATGAACGTTATTGAGAAAATTCAAAATTTCGAATATGTCAAAGATTCAGTACATCTGCACAACTGAGTAATTTTCAGTCATATTCTCAAGAGTTATCAACCATTGTATAAGATGTTATTGGACAATAAGTTTACTACAGAGATTGGGTTTCTAGTTTAAAAGAAAATTATCTGGACTAATAACACTATTATTTTCGTAAGCAACACTAATCATTTTACCTAGGATAATGATTTATGCTTATTTTTCTTGCAAAGAATACTGTACTGTTTCTCAATTACTCATTTTCTGAGTTTACTTCAAGTGTCTAAGTCGAAAATAAAGTATGTGAACTTAATAAATACTCTACTAGATTCAAAAGAAAGAGTGTAGTGCACCTTCCTAGCATTAAAGTGCAACTAGGGCTAAAATAAATAGAATAAATTGAATTAATTAAAAAACTTCTAGCCTGCCTGAGGATACTTAAGATCTTCTAAGTTCTGTTTTAAAAAGCATGCATCCGAGCAGGCTTCGATACCACTTTGCGCTCCCGTAGTGCTGGTTAACCCACACATTATCAAAGTCCCTAGTTCAGTCATGCTAGTCAGATAAGTCAGATAAACCTTACCCTTAATAATTACTATTACACTTATTCTAATTTAAACATATTGGTCCTTTGAATGTATTCCTGAATACCAGTCCTCTTGACTTGTGTTTTGTTGTCAGTACTTACACGTTAGGTAAGGTACTGATTAACCAAGTACTATAGCACATCGAGTTACGTAGGCTTGGTCGAGCGTTACGTAATAGTAACACGATCAGTACCCCCACAAGAGCACGTAATTCAGTAATCAAATACAAGTCTGAGCACTAGACTTTGAGACATATACATGGTGTGAAAATCTTAAAATACATTCCTATGACTGAGACTAATTTTTACACAATCTGACTAGCTATTTGAGCATTGCATCTACCTGAAAAAAAGGGGGGATTTATCAAACACCCACTAAAGAATAAACAGTTTCATGTTGTCTGATCCTAAGTACTAACAGAATTGTATCGATCACTTTGTGCCGTGGCAACCAAGTTAGGGGACTCGCCATCAAGGTTGGTTGAATTGGGGAAATCGGTGGGGAATCCTGGTTGATCTGTGACTTGTGTTGGTACTCTTCAACAAGGTGTATCTGTAACCTTAAGGAAAGTGAGTTCCTCTCTCAGGTTCACCCCCCCCCCTCCCTCATGATGAGTCTTCTAGCTTGAAGGAGAAATTAGTTCCCTCAAGATCGCAGATACACCTTGTTGACAGGTGTCGGCAAGAATGAAACCTAGGTCCAGAGGTTCCTACCAAATAGCAAGGGTGGTATTGATTTTCATACGTAGTATTTTGTCTCAAAAATACAAAAATAACCGTTTATAATTCCAAAAATAAACTATTACCAAAATCCCTAGTAATCTACTAAAAAACCACGTAAATGTAAACATTTTAGCTAACCGCAGTATGTCTACAGCACGTTGAACTTTTTGACCTCTCCCAAAGTTATTTTAATAATACGCCATTAACAATTCGGTGTTCAGCTTTAATATTTCAATCAGTACTAATGTGATAACCTGTATTTATAGTTAAGAACTTCTCCTGGTTACTTTTACCATCAAAAAACAGCGAAAACACCCGCCTTTATACGACAATCTCAGTCTTGTACACACTCAAGATAGATGAACACAACACGTGATACAACGCACATCATACATATATGCATCACTGGGAGTTTCGACAGTTCATGAGAGAAAATTGGGAAGATATAATAATGAACATAATACAGGATACGAGTAGCAAGCATATGAATCAATATTTTTTAAAATAAAGCGATTCAGATTCGAAGAAAAAATACGATTTACGATTAAATATATGGTCAGTAATAAAAAAAGCTTATCTTCGAACAGTTTAATCTCGTCCTACCAAGACAGAGTATGTAGACAATAAGTCCACTCATATTCTCCTTTGCCTGGCAAAAACAGACACATTTCAAATGTATATATATATATATATATATATATATATATATATATATATATATATATATATATATATTCCTTTGATACTATAAGCTGTCGAATCACTCTCACGTAGCGAGTTTGTTGAGCCACACATTCAATTTTATCAATAATAAAATATTGCAAATAAAAATGCTTGGAAATAATCGACTGTTTTCACATTTCAAGGTGACTTTCAAGGGAACAGTGACATTTCATACCACCTCTCTCCCATTAAAAATTAGGTCACATCAGTCTGGCCTCCTTGGGTCTTCGAATAGTCCACCTCATGGGCTGTGACGCCATTCTTCTTTTCCCAAACTTCGATTCTCAGCTGATATCGTAGGAAGAATAGGATGGTGAAGAAGAAGATAAACTAGTGCAGTACAGGGATGAACAATGAGAAGAGGAACTGAACACAACGTATAAAACACTACACCTGACAAAGAAGTCAAGAAGAGTGCGCGCAAAAACAAAACACACTTCACACACTACACACTGGCAAGTGAAGCAGAACAGACTGCAGGTAGGAGAGACCTGAAAACATTGTATCAAATGACCAGCTTACTTACTGTCTGGGAGGGAAGAGATCAACAGAGCACAGATGAAACCAATAAAAGATGATCAATGAGAGAAACGAAGGAAACAATGGGCTGACCACTTCAAAAAGCTCTTGAATCGACCACCACCACCACCACCTGCAATTCATCCAGAAATATCACCAGCAACGGCAGAACTACAAGTGAACACAGACACTTCGACAAAAGCAGAAATCTTAGATGCCATAAAACCGCTAAAATCCGGCAAAGCAGCAGGACCAGATGGAATTCTGCCAGAAGCACTGAAAACAGATTCAGAGACAACAGCGAACATGCTCACACCACACCACTAATGCAGAAGGGTTTGGAAGGAAGGAACGACCGGAACAGGCTGGCTAGCTCGATTCAAGAAGAACAAATCATGTGCGGATCACCAAACTGAAACACTACGCTACGCATCATCATTGAACGCAGCACAGAATGTCAGTCAACTGGATCTCTACCTCAACTTCATCCACTTTGAAAAGGCCTTCGACAGCCTTGACCGAGAAGTAATTCGATGGGCAACTGCTTCATCACCACGGTTGTAGTGCCACTAACCTTTATCAAACTCATTCAACAACCATATGAAAAGGCCACACGCCAAGTGATTCACATTGGGAAGGAAGCTCAGTGACACCTTTGAAGTGAAGACAGGAGTAGGACAAGACTGCCGTCTACTATCACCCACAATCTTCCTGATTGTGTTCGACTGAACTGGATCATGCAGCAAACCGTGAGGAGCGAGAACATGGATATAACCTGGCTCGACCGATGAAAAGCGACTAGAAGATTTAAATTTCGCCAACGATGATGATTGATGTCTAATGTCTTGTGGCACAAACTCAAAGATCTACAGGCGAAAACCAACAAGTCGACAGAAGAGGCGGGGCAGCGAAAACGGTGCTTCAGGTGAATGTAGAGAAGGTGGGGGTGATGAGGATACCCAACCAACATCACCACCAGCAACAAACTCCAATCTCCACTAACAGGAAAAACTTAAAGGAAGTAGCCTCTTTCACCTATCTAGGCAGCACCATTTCAACTACAGGTGGCACAGATGAGGACGCGAAAACCAGGAATGGGAAAGCAAGACAGGGTTTCACTAATCTCCAATTACTGTGGATATCTACTGCACTGAGCGCAAAGAACAACATCCGGATTTTCAACACCAATGTCAAGTCACTGCTGCTACATAGTTCAGAAACGTGGCACGTCACGAAAAGCACTTCCAACAAACTACAGACATTCATCAACAGCTGCCTACACTCGATACGGAAGATCAGATAGATGGCCAGGAAGGAAAAGCAACGAGGAACTCCGGCTGGCTGGCAACGAACCAACCAAGAACCCATCACCCAACAAATATGCAGAGGAAAGTGGAGATGGATTGAACATACACTGAAAAGCCCAACCGGGGACATCACGCGTCAGGCCAGGCCCTCGAGTGAAATCCAAAGCGGAAACGACGAGTTGGGCGTTCGAGGCGGTGACATGCAGGAGATCATGTGAGGAAGAAATGAAAGCTTGTGGGTAGTCGCAGAGCCAGGTTAAGAAGACTGCAGAGAACTGAGTAGAATGGAGGCGTGCTACTAAAGCCCCATGTTCCACCAGGAACCGAAGAGAAGATAATAATGATGTCCACGTGTAGATCCGCCTATGGCTTCATTAAGCGTGACCATACTTAAGCGGGGATTCGTTCCGAACGGTGTGTTTGAAAATAGTTGGATTTCCAGAATTTTCATCGGGAATTTCCTGAAAATATTATCTCCCAACAGAAAGGGGAAAGGCTTGAAGTATCTACGCCACATCCATTTTGATAAATGTTGCCTGTACATGTATAAAGTTCTAAGACGTGAGAAAAACTTGTATGGATAAACAAATTCAAGGCGAGCCATACGGCAGCAAAATGTAATCATATTAACAGTCCTTCAAGAAATATAGAACGAATGACACACTAAGTTTTGTGGATAGTGAAATTTTTCCCTGGAAGCTTTCATTTAACCCAACGAGGATATAGAACTCGTGTTTCAATGACGTCTTCAATCCCTGCACATCTATGCGGATCACGAGCGAATAACGAGAACGCCAAAGGGCAAATCAAGGCATTCGAGTTCATTGCGAACTAACATCGGAAGATTGAAACTTGTTACTTGACATAACGCAGGAGAAACAAAACGTTGGTCAAAAGTTGAGTCAAATCACGATGGAGAAAAGCTTGCCGTCCAAAGCTCCAACAGACATGCATAAAGACAAACGCACTTCAAAGAAGTCTGATGGAAGATTGAAGATTCAGATCACCAATTTGCTTCAATTTTTATCTTCCACTTATCACATCATCGAGCATTATGAGGTCAGAATATAAGGTGAACCATATGACATCATAACCTTTTAAGACTCAACACCAAAATATTTATGCAGAAACTTGACTTGTGTGTTGCTTAGACTATTAATATGCTGACGTTTACATGTTGATCCTAAAAAAACTGCTTCATTGAGAGCAAGCAACAAAACGTTTACACTGGATCTCAATTATTGGGTACTAATGTGGTGGGTTCCCTAAAAGAGTTGATGAATTGTCATTCCTAGCCTGTAAGTCAAAATTAAAGCAACTCATTGGACAAACATAGCTCAAGGAAGCTGGCTGATCCAAAGCTGTATCTGGTGCTTTTCGGGGCTTTCCTAAATATACATGAGGAGATACTTTGGGTATAAGGAACTACATGCTTAATACATACCGGGCTGCATTTCGCAGTTTTGCAGACTAATAACACATGCATCACAGGAGCAGTAACTGGGCATAATAGCCAAGTCCTGGGGCCTCTATTATGATTAAATATATTTTCTCTTGACCTTAAAATAATATGCAGTGTATTATTGCGGTTATACTTGATAATTTGTACAATGGTTTGAGTACTTGTACTTCTCATCCGTTGGCTTCTTCAATGGTGACAGTCTCTAAAGCTACCAAAGACCCTGAAGATAACGACCGCGTCATGCCGAAGCAGATTTACCTAACCTATTGAATCAAAATTATGTAGAACAGTATTGCTACTTGATTACGAGAACATGTTTGGGAAGAGATGGCAAAAGCAAATCAACAAAGATACAGTAAAAAGCCAACAGATGCAGAACAAATACAACACAAACACCCGGACGATTACATGACTCTTTTAAAGCTATGAAAAATAAATTGGAACTTCGGATAGAATGACATAAACTGGTTGGAAGAAATGTAGGTCATTGTCAACTTGACCCTTCTACCGATTATCTAAATTGGCATGCGAAAACTAAACAGACATACACAATAAAGGTCCTGGAAAATAATTAAAGACAGGATGCGTAGCGTTAAAAATTATCGACAAGTTACACAAATATACTCAGTTTCCACGATTCACTCTAAATAGTCGGACTGGTTATTTCTGGAGCAACAGCTAAGTTGGTGAAAACTTCGAGAAGAAATCTCAAAACAGTGGGCATAACCTATAACAAATTCTGGGTTAAACTTCGGAATTTCCTAAAATTTCAAGCGAACTTTGGGACTGCCAAAACCTTGGTGGAAACCCCGAGGTTTTCAAAAGTAAATTGACACTTCCTGAGGAGTTACTTTACCCAAAACTGCGAAGAGAACTTGAAAGAGTTTACCATCTTTCATACAAAGGCTGACTAGTACTCTTTTCCTTTAGCAAAACTGTTGCAGTTGCAACTATATACGTTTATCTTGGTTAAGGAAATTCTCGTTGTTAATGTATGGTACTCAAAAGATCGGCCTACCACTACCCCAGCAGTCAACATAAACTACTAGATAATTGAAATTCGCGATATCTGTTAGCTTCTGTTTAAGGCATGGCTCTCACAACTACGAATGTGAGATCACTGATATCAAAAAAGTGCAGTTTCAGCCCATGTTTCAAAAATTGGGGGATAAATTTGGATATATTTTCATACGTGAAAAATGTTAGACAATGACATACATCTCTTGGTTTACTCGACATTGGCATGTTGCTATGGTGTAATGATTGCGTTTGAACGGAGAACCTTTGAATGTAAATTACACTCCCAAGTATGTGAACAAAATCCAGCATCAATATTCAACATCACTAGCGCCGGCACAGGAAACATGTTGTTTATGAGCTCCCTCATCGGTGTTTGCAGAAGAATATTAGATTTACCCGCTTACGTACCTGGAAATTGCTGATGTTTATTTGAGGATTCGATAATGCAAATTGGATACAATTCTGCACCGGGCAGGAATGTAGTTCATCATGAGATCAGCTAAACATTGGCACTCCAGTTTCTGTATACGAGTGTAGGTAAGTATTAAGCGTTATTTAAAAATTAGTGTGAGAAATTGGACGAGTAGGGAATGAGGAAAGAAGATTGAAAAGTGCTTATGAAAAAAAAGTGTTACTAGTAATAATATGGTGGAGAGATGGGTATCATTGCAGATACTAGGGTTTGGCAATGCAGGGATAGGTGAGCATACTTTCAGCTGCTATTGGCGTTTACTCGTGGTAGTTCGCAGTGTGCAAGCAGAACCGAAGATACTCTTCATTCTTCGGACGGCTTCACCACGCTATTTGGATCAGACCTACGGGTGGTCTCTTTGCAACAGGCAGTTCAGTGGTTTATGGATGTTACGCGGTGGTAGCAGAAAGACTGAGTAGCGGCCGACCATCCCTATAAAGAGCGAAGCGCCGGCTTGTGTTGAACCACCTTATTGTTTCCAGAATAGATCGTCACCCAGCAGCATCAGGGATAAAATCAAATACTTTGTGGAGTTTAGGAGAAATTGACACCTTTCTATTCTTAACCGCAATCAATTGTCAGCGATTTTCCGAAGGGCTAGGCATACGTGGCGTCTCAGTACTTCAGGGGAACTTGTGACCACCAGCAAGTCGTCCAATCTAGTAGCAACCTCCAAAATGCGGGGTAGGACTAAGTCCATTAGTTGCTGGAGTATGTTGGTGGTAGTGTTAGCTCCAGAGTGACCTGCATTTTTGCAATAGCGCTTGGTATGGGCTTATTGTTGGGAGTTCGCTTGACTTATCTGAAACTTCGATCTGCAGTCGCGCATCTGTCAAACCAATCTCTGTGAAGACTCCCGGCCACTGAGGATGCCGAAAATGACATCTGGAACCGACAGGAAGTAGTGGTGACATTATGGACCAATAGGATCTATTCTGGAAACAATAAGGTGGTTCAACATATGCCGGCGCTTCGCTCTTTATAGGGATGGTCGGCCGCTACTCAGTCTTTCTGCTACCACCGCGTAACATCCATAAACCACTGAACTGCCTGTTGCAAAGAGACCACCCGTAGGTCTGATCCAAATAGCGTGGTGAAGCCGTCCGAAGAATGAAGAGTATCTTCGGTTCTGCTTGCACACTGCGATCTGAAACTGACCATTATAGTTGCAGCAGAGACCTCTGCGGCGGAAGTCCCTCATATTTTGTTCATTGATTACTGGACGAAACACCACCATGCGGTGACTGCCGCTTCCTAGGGGAGTTGGAACCTGAACGTTTTCTGTCAGCAGAAGATCGCTAGTTAGAACAGAGTTCAATTTCGATGGCTCTGCCATGACCCCTAGAGAGTGCAAACGCAAGTCTTCGCATATAACCCCGCCCCTTCTATGCGCTTCTCAGGTCTTAGCCGCACTTCCGTTACCATGCCACGCTGTCCTGCTGTAGACTGAGAGTTGAGCCTCCCATGTCCTTCTGTATGACAACCTGGTCAGGCCTCACAGTCCATACCGCCAATATAACGTGGAGTAGTTGTCAATGTTCATATTTAACAATGGCGACCCAGGCAGGAAGAGGAGCTGCCGTCTTCTGCCGTCACAGCGAGAATTCCCTCTGCTGGCTTTCTCAACTGTGTGCCGTGCCTGTAGTTCTATGCTTAGGGGTTCCAGGCATCTTAAGTTGACAGCCATCGGTCCCGGTGACACAACTGTTGCTAGATGCGTAGAGCGTTGGCGCTTGTAGACCTCATATTCCATTCAGCCCAAGTCTTGCCGATAACCACCAACATTTTTGACTCCATGGCAACTTGTTTCTCCTGACGTACCGGCTGTTAGAACAAGGATAACTCAGAAGACCGTGGTCACAGGTCTTGAGGCCTGGGGAGCTTTACGGACATTATTATCACAAAACGGTGCGCAGCATTCCCACAACACCACGGAGAAACACCTGGGACTAATTCCGGCCGGCAAACTAGGAACTAGATCCAATTACCCAGGAGACACCCGGAGCCTACTCAGTACCAAGCTTTGTTTGAAGACAACCGGGTGCCTTCACCGAGTAATCCCTTCTGAGGCTCCACAAGACTTGTATGCGGCCTCGATCAGAGGTTCAAGAGGTCATTACGAACTCAACTTAACCTTATGCTACCCCATAAAAAATCTTACCTCCCCAATCGACATGCCACCGTCAACACCACTACCAATTCTATTCCCGTCACCCTCAATAATCTTACCCCTTCCTTTCCCTTCCCCTGACTGTGCATGACTTCATCTTACTTATTAGGTTTCCAGACCACTGTTTTGTTTCCCACCTTCTCCGGATTTGGTTGGATTTTTCCTTCCCTTCCGCCTCGCTTCTTCCTTGCTTTTTTCGGACTGCCTCTCCTCTGTTTTCAGTGGTTATCTTTTCGCCCCCATTGTCTTCCCTTTGCAACTAGTCCGGACAACTGTTCGGTGGTGTGACATCCGAGAAACCCATCTGCACCAAAGTTTCAGGACGAGCCACACACCTCGTCACGAGTTTAGCCATCGCCCAACCACCCGTGGTGCCCATAAAGGCTACAGCAGGCGAGTGGGCGTCATCAGTTCCTTTTGACGTTGCGTCCAGTGCTCGTTGCACCTGGAATATAAATAAAAGTTTTTAATACCACGAAAACTTTTCGTAAAAATGGGAATTATTTGTATATAAACATATCGAAAAATAAAAATTTACGTTTATTTTCACCCTTTTTAAAAAAAAGTTTCATTATATGGTTATTTGGGCTAGAAAAGAGCCTAAAGAGCTTTTCGTGCGTAGCGTGACTTTACACTTTTGACAAGCTAAGCACGACTGGGCCCACTCCTTAACGTCTTTGTTCATCCCAGGCCAGCAGAAACGTTGTGCGATAAGCCTAATGGTGGCTCGTACACCTGGATGAGAGAGTTTGTGCAACGTATTGAAGACGTTGCGTCGACAACTCTTCGGAACTATTGGGCGTGGTTGACTAGCAGAGACATCGCACAAAATTGTATCCTTGTCTGATCCAACAGGACAAAGTCGCAGTTTGAGAGTTGTGGACGACAACTCATGATGCAGCTCAAGGTCTTCCTTTTGACGCCGAGCTAGTTCAACGAGATCAATACCCTCGATATAGTTTATCGAAGCTATTCGAGATAGTGCGTCGGCTGCGGAGTTGTTTGCTCCAGAAATGTGGCGGATGTCTGACGTGAACTGGGAAATGTAATCCAGCTGTCGCGACTCACGAGGGGAGTATTTGTCAGACGCCGAGCTGAGGGAAAACGTTAACGGTTTGTGGTCTGTGAAAATAATGAAATCACGACCTTCCACAGAATGTCGAAAATGGCGTACAGAACAGTACATGGCTAGGAGTTCCCTACCAAATGTACTGTATCTTGTTTCCGCGTCTTGCAGCCGCCTCGAGAAAAAGGCTAACGGTTGCCACTGGTTGTCAGTCAACTGTTGCAAAACTGCTCCAATTGCTGAATCAGATGCATCAACAGCAATACTCAGAGGAGCATTGGGGTCATGATGCATAAGCATGGTTGCGTTCGAAATGGCTTCCTTGACTTTGGAGAAAGCAAGTCTAGCCGCGTTGTCCAGAGACACGAACTTCGCAGTTCCTCGAAGTAGATCTGTGAGTGGTCTCATGACAGAGGCACAGTTAGGGATAAACCTTCGGTAATAACTTACCAGGCCATTGAAAGTGCGGAGATGTTTCACAGTGGTCGGCTCTGGATAGTTTGTGATAGCCGCCACTTTATCTCTCAATGGGCGTATACCTTTGTTGTCAATGGTATGCCCAAGGAAGCTGAGTGATTCAACTCCTATTTCACACTTCTGTAAGTTAACTGTGATGCCATGTTTTTTAAGTCTTTCGAATGCGAGGTCCAAATGTTTAAGGTGAGTTTCCTTATCTGGACTCGCAATTAGACAGTCATCGATGTAGACATGAACAAAATTCAGACCACGGAAGACATCGTCCATAAAGCGTTGGAATGTTTGTGCTGCATTCCGAAGACCAAAAGGCATGCGCAGGAATTCAAACAGGCCAAAAGGAGTAATAATGGCTGTTTTCGCGATATCTTCTGCTGCCATAGGTATCTGGTTGTACGCTTTGACCAAGTCGATTTTCGAGAAAATGTTCATGCCGCATAAGGTTGCGGTCAAGTCGTAAACGTGGGTATAGGGTAGCAGTCCGGAGTTGTTTTGGCGTTAAGCCTTCGGTAATCACCGGTCGGACGCCAGTCGTTGCTATCCTTTTTGGGAACCATGTGCAATGGCGATGCCCAAGGACTGTTCGACGGTCTGATAATGCCCAGTTCGAGCATGTGGTCGAATTCATTTTTCGCCGTTTGAGCTTATCGGGGGCTAAACGGCGCGCTTTGGATGCCACAGGTGGACCTGTGGTTGTGACGTGATGCATAACATTGCTGGTTATGCACGGAAGAGTGTGCTTCGGTTGCTGTAACTCTGGATATTTCTCCAGAACTGCCTGGTAGGACGCGTCGCCTGATTGTTTAGTCCTAACGATGGCTAAACTCGGACCTACATAGGTGGTGCCGCCAATAGATAACTTTGTGTTGTTATCTATCAGTCGTCGACGGCGAGCATCTACGAGTAGATCGTAATGGTTTAGCAAATCTATGCCAATGATGGGCATAGAGACGTCAGCCAGGAGGAAATCCAGTGAATAGGTTTGCGTAAACCTAAGTTGAGGTAGGCATACCGTCTCCCGAATGTCGCGATTGCCTTGCCGTTGGCTGCTTGAAGATTGAAGGATGGGTGTGATGACGCTCCTTTGTCGTTGCTGGAAGAACGCTAACTTCTGCGCCGGTGTCGACGAGGTAGCGGACTTTCGTTTTAATGTCGGTGACGTAGAGCAAACGGCTTTTTCCGCCGGCTACGGTTGCCGTGAGCACGTGCCGGCGTGACCGTTTCCCGAGTTTGTTTCTTTCTTAAAACGGCATGGTTTACGACATTTTCTGGCTTCACCCCCGTAAGTGTTATGAAACCAGCACCATTCAGGGTTTTCCACCCTGTTGGGTTTCGTTTTAGGGCTACCACGCGACTTGCTGCGATGCGCCAAGGTGCGTTTCTGTGAAGTGCTACGTGATCTAGGACTTCGAGATCGTAGCAACCGTTTCACAGAGTTGCACAACTTGGTCACCTCTGAATCCTGGCGCTCTGGTTTGTCGCAGATAGAATATACGTTGGAGACGGGTCTGCTGGATATCTCCAGTATTTTATCTGCTGAGGCTGCCAGGTCGTCGAGTGGGACTGACTGCAGTGTCACCAACACGGTTTGCACCGGTTGTGGTAGTTTCGAGAGAAATAGTTCTCGGAAAAAACCATCGTCAAATGTTCGTGCACCGATTACTTCTCGCATGCGTGCGAGGACTTCAGTAGCTGAGTGGCTGCCTAGCTCGATGTTACGAAGCAATTCGTCTAGACGTTGGCGATCTGTGAGATCGCTTTTCTTCAAGAGTGCGGCCTTTAGAAGTGCATAAGGGTCACTTACTTCAGGATTAAACATGTTTGCTGTAACGCGTCTGTTTAATTCTCGCGGTAGTGACCGAACGACAGCAAGAAATCGAGAATGAGGATCTGAGACACCCTGTTCTCGAAAATCGGCCTCGGCATACAGAAACCATGTTTCTGCATTGTCTGGCCAATATGGCACGAGTTGGATCGTGTTCGAGTCGGCTTAATACGAATAAGCTTGGGAGTGTGGTCGGACATGAGAAAGTGTAGTAAATGGATATATAAATGTTATCGAAATGAAAATAATACACAAATATAAAATGGAACAGGCTCACCAATTCAATACTTGTTATTGGTCGGGATATGTGATCACGTCGGGCTCACCAATTTAGGATTTGTCCTGGTGCGAACTTGACAGACGCAAAGACCAATCACTAATTATTCGAACTTGTTATATACCCACGAATACGAGACCAAGGAAGAACACGATAGCGTAGTCGGATGGAATAGTATATTTGGATGGTTGTGCCAAAATACCGATGCGTTCCAACTAACTGGCTAGAGAGTCGAATACGAGCGGCGCAACGTAACACGACAGCGTGCCAAATGGCGAGGATGCTTGACCGGGTGCCTTCAGCTTAGCGAGTGCAGTTAAACTTTCAAGGTCAGCATCAATGTCGAAAGTCGTCAAACCCAAGGCTATTGATTTTGGGGAAGCGTGTGACACTATAGTCCTTACACGCAAAGTATCTCCTCGTGTATATTTAGGAAAGCCCCGAAAAGCACCAGATACAGCTTTGGATCAGCCAGCTTCCTTGAGCTATGTTTGTCCAATGAGTTGCTTTAATTTTGACTTACAGGCTAGGAATGACAATTCATCAACTCTTTTAGGGAACCCACCACATTAGTACCCAATAATTGAGATCCAGTGTAAACGTTTTGTTGCTTGCTCTCAATGAAGCAGTTTTTTTAGGATCAACATGTAAACGTCAGCATATTAATAGTCTAAGCAACACACAAGTCAAGTTTCTGCATAAATATTTTGGTGTTGAGTCTTAAAAGGTTATGATGTCATATGGTTCACCTTATATTCTGACCTCATAATGCTCGATGATGTGATAAGTGGAAGATAAAAATTGAAGCAAATTGGTGATCTGAATCTTCAATCTTCCATCAGACTTCTTTGAAGTGCGTTTGTCTTTATGCATGTCTGTTGGAGCTTTGGACGGCAAGCTTTTCTCCATCGTGATTTGACTCAACTTTTGACCAACGTTTTGTTTCTCCTGCGTTATGTCAAGTAACAAGTTTCAATCTTCCGATGTTAGTTCGCAATGAACTCGAATGCCTTGATTTGCCCTTTGGCGTTCTCGTTATTCGCTCGTGATCCGCATAGATGTGCAGGGATTGAAGACGTCATTGAAACACGAGTTCTATATCCTCGTTGGGTTAAATGAAAGCTTCCAGGGAAAAATTTCACTATCCACAAAACTTAGTGTGTCATTCGTTCTATATTTCTTGAAGGACTGTTAATATGATTACATTTTGCTGCCGTATGGCTCGCCTTGAATTTGTTTATCCATACAAGTTTTTCTCACGTCTTAGAACTTTATACATGTACAGGCAACATTTATCAAAATGGATGTGGCGTAGATACTTCAAGCCTTTCCCCTTTCTGTTGGGAGATAATATTTTCAGGAAATTCCCGATGAAAATTCTGGAAATCCAACTATTTTCAAACACACCGTTCGGAACGAATCCCCGCTTAAGTATGGTCACGCTTAATGAAGCCATAGGCGGATCTACACGTGGACATCATTATTATCTTCTCTTCGGTTCCTGGTGGAACATGGGGCTTTAGTAGCACGCCTCCATTCTACTCAGTTCTCTGCAGTCTTCTTAACCTGGCTCTGCGACTACCCACAAGCTTTCATTTCTTCCTCACATGATCTCCTGCATGTCACCGCCTCGAACGCCCAACTCGTCGTTTCCGCTTTGGATTTCACTCGAGGGCCTGGCCTGACGCGTGATGTCCCCGGTTGGGCTTTTCAGTGTATGTTCAATCCATCTCCACTTTCCTCTGCATATTTGTTGGGTGATGGGTTCTTGGTTGGTTCGTTGCCAGCCAGCCGGAGTTCCTCGTTGCTTTTCCTTCCTGGCCATCTATCTGATCTTCCGTATCGAGTGTAGGCAGCTGTTGATGAATGTCTGTAGTTTGTTGGAAGTGCTTTTCGTGACGTGCCACGTTTCTGAACTATGTAGCAGCAGTGACTTGACATTGGTGTTGAAAATCCGGATGTTGTTCTTTGCGCTCAGTGCAGTAGATATCCACAGTAATTGGAGATTAGTGAAACCCTGTCTTGCTTTCCCATTCCTGGTTTTCGCGTCCTCATCTGTGCCACCTGTAGTTGAAATGGTGCTGCCTAGATAGGTGAAAGAGGCTACTTCCTTTAAGTTTTTCCTGTTAGTGGAGATTGGAGTTTGTTGCTGGTGGTGATGTTGGTTGGGTATCCTCATCACCCCCACCTTCTCTACATTCACCTGAAGCACCGTTTTCGCTGCCCCGCCTCTTCTGTCGACTTGTTGGTTTTCGCCTGTAGATCTTTGAGTTTGTGCCACAAGACATTAGACATCAATCATCATCGTTGGCGAAATTTAAATCTTCTAGTCGCTTTTCATCGGTCGAGCCAGGTTATATCCATGTTCTCGCTCCTCACGGTTTGCTGCATGATCCAGTTCAGTCGAACACAATCAGGAAGATTGTGGGTGATAGTAGACGGCAGTCTTGTCCTACTCCTGTCTTCACTTCAAAGGTGTCACTGAGCTTCCTTCCCAATGTGAATCACTTGGCGTGTGGCCTTTTCATATGGTTGTTGAATGAGTTTGATAAAGGTTAGTGGCACTACAACCGTGGTGATGAAGCAGTTGCCCATCGAATTACTTCTCGGTCAAGGCTGTCGAAGGCCTTTTCAAAGTGGATGAAGTTGAGGTAGAGATCCAGTTGACTGACATTCTGTGCTGCGTTCGATGATGATGCGTAGCGTAGTGTTTCAGTTTGGTGATCCGCACATGATTTGTTCTTCTTGAATCGAGCTAGCCAGCCTGTTCCGGTCGTTCCTTCCTTCCAAACCCTTCTGCATTAGTGGTGTGGTGTGAGCATGTTCGCTGTTGTCTCTGAATCTGTTTTCAGTGCTTCTGGCAGAATTCCATCTGGTCCTGCTGCTTTGCCGGATTTTAGCGGTTTTATGGCATCTAAGATTTCTGCTTTTGTCGAAGTGTCTGTGTTCACTTGTAGTTCTGCCGTTGCTGGTGATATTTCTGGATGAATTGCAGGTGGTGGTGGTGGTGGTCGATTCAAGAGCTTTTTGAAGTGGTCAGCCCATTGTTTCCTTCGTTTCTCTCATTGATCATCTTTTATTGGTTTCATCTGTGCTCTGTTGATCTCTTCCCTCCCAGACAGTAAGTAAGCTGGTCATTTGATACAATGTTTTCAGGTCTCTCCTACCTGCAGTCTGTTCTGCTTCACTTGCCAGTGTGTAGTGTGTGAAGTGTGTTTTGTTTTTGCGCGCACTCTTCTTGACTTCTTTGTCAGGTGTAGTGTTTTATACGTTGTGTTCAGTTCCTCTTCTCATTGTTCATCCCTGTACTGCACTAGTTTATCTTCCGCTTCTCTATCCTCCTCTCCCAACTGTGTCAGCTTCCATGTGTGTGTCGGGATCCATTCCTTATCCTCTTTCTTAATCCTTCCTAATACGGTTATGCAGGTTTACTTCCACATCTCTTTCAAAGACTTCCAGTGTTGATACACACAACTTTCTTCATGGATGTTGCCGGATATCTCCCATTTAATCTTGATGGCTGACGTGAAGATGTTGCTTCACTTTTATGTTCTGTGTGTTGAACTTGAACTGTGGTCTATGACTAGCAGCCTCTTTGAAGGTGTTCAACTTGATTTGTGAGGTAGGTTCCTTGCAGTAGGAAGTGAGTGGTGTGAAACTACATCTGTTCCCTTTCTCTATCTGATCTGATGTTGTGTCAAGTAGGCTGGCTGACTGTGTCTCCACTTTCTCCAGATTGACATGAAATCGATCTGATTTTTAGTGTAGTGTATCCCGATGTCTGGTGAAATCAAATCGATGTCGCTTTGTGGATTTCGTTGTGCTTGAACATAGTGCCTCCAGTCAGCGAGTCGTTGAATGCACAGAGAGAATTCTGCAAACAGTTCTCCGTTGTCATTCATTTCATGGAGTGCTTGTCGACCCATGATGAGTCCTCTTGGTATGTTGTCGGCTCCATGTTTGGTATTGATGTCGCCCAAGCTATTAGAGTTTGATGTGGCCAACTGGAGTCTTGTGTAGTGCTGAGTGCAGTTGTCTGTAGAATTTCTCCCTCTTCTCTTGATCTGCATCACATAGACCTTATGGCCCCGGTAATTAGAGCAGGACACTTATTGGTATGGGGTGTCACATCCCAATATTTCGAATTGGTTACCGTCGCAAGCCCTGTTCACTTCAGCTTTCGCAGCTTTTAAAGAGTCTTTAACCAGTATGGATCCCGAAGAACGCTGGTCCCTGGGGACGGCCCATCTTGTTTTCAAGATTTTTCTGCAGGCAATGTTGCACACTTCCAGATTCCACCTTGATGCATGCGATTTAACATTCCAGCGAGCCACATAGTTGTCATTTTCAACAGGATACTTCTTAAAGCCGTTGGGGAGGAATCCGGACAAGGTTCTACAAAAGCCGCTTCTACTCCATAGAGCTGGTTCAAAAGGCCTATTGGATAGCGGATAAATTAGATTTGCGGGAATACAAATGAATGTAGAAGGCGGCTGAATCAGAAACTGTTTCTTCTGTTCTCCTGAAATCCACTGTTTTTTTTATTTAGGATAACAAAAGTGTCAAGGCTGACTAATTAGATTTTTGACGAGTTCACTTATTAGATTGTCAATCTAGGTCAACCTAGAAGGAGCTATATGTATCAGCTCGCGCTTCAAAGTCAACCCTATTGTACGTAAATAATGCGGGTTGTGCGGAAATTATCCATAAATAAAGCTGCGTCTACATATTCAAGCTTAAATTATACTGCAAGCATGTAAATTATGCGGGTAGTCCATAAAAACCCGCTTAAACATTGCTTTCCAGCATTATTTTCGCATTCGCAATCATTGCATTGACCCACATTAAGTACGCATTTTCAGGTATTATTTCCACATTCTTGTTGGACTGGGTAATTGTTATAACCATACAGGCTTGTTTTAACATATTTTGTGGTGTACGCCGATTTCTGGGTGTGCTAAGGAATTTTTTTAGAAATAGGCTAGATTCTGCGTGCTTTGGGAAACGAGGGGGATTGGCGGTTTGACAGGCGTCGTAAGAGTTCTGAAATAGGACTTTTGTATGAAACTTAACCGTGCTATATGTAGTTCAAAGCATTTTCATTGTCTCTATGTGCCTGGAAGTTTTCATATTCTTGGGAAAATGGGGATTAATTGTTGCGTTTCCGCAAACTGGTGTGTTGGAGAAGGCGACTGCTATTGTATTCACCTTATTCCTAGACTCCTTTGGATGCCATTTCACAATAGGTCACAAAAATTACTGATCAGGAGTGATATAAAGGTCTTTTGTATGTACAATAAAGCATAAAGAATAGGTGCTCACTGCTGTTTTGGGATCTAACGCAGCTGCCCGTGGCGATGCATGGTCAGAATTTTCGCCGCGCTAAATAGGGCAGTGTTGGACCGCTTACTTTAGAAAATATCTGGCCGAATATATAGACAGACTGGCAATTTTACGGAGATTAGTGGTCGAACACGTCGATTCATTGACCCTTTATTGCATATTAACTAAGCTTCAAATTCTAACGCACTCTATTTTCTCCGTTAAGCGGGGCAAAGCTGAACCACTATCCCCTTCATTTTTCAAGCATTTCACCTTAAAGCCATAAAGTATAGAGATCTGTTGGGGTAGATCCATCAACAGTACTACAACAGATCAGGACTTGCGTAAACGAAATGTTTCTACTTGGCTTCCGTTGATACACTTACTACCACCTATGCATTCGGCTAATAGTAGATATAGACACCTTTACTTTTTTTTGACTGAAAAACATTTTTTTGATCCTTACTTTATGGCTAGTTTCCAAATGTTGGCCTGAAATTGCAGCTCAACTATTGTTTCAGGAAGCTTGTTTTAGTCACTGACATGCTAAAATATTTCTGTACTTATACACTACTCATTCCTCGTGCACTAAATCCTTACTACTCCGTTCTATTTTAGCCAGAATCAAATACCGAAATCACTGAAGACGAGTTTACAGATAAAAATGATTCCACATTGACCAGTTCATTGAAAGCTGCAGAAAAGTATGAAATGTGTTTACTGGAAGTAGCATCTGATTGCAAGAAAAACTATCAATTTGGATTCTTGGATTTCTTAGCACTATCTACTGCATCCAGCCAGTATATGCTTGGCATTGATGAGGCTGGAAGAGGTCCTGTTCTGGGTGAGTTGTTTATTGCGATCGTTAACCATTGCTTATCAAACGATTGTGTTTCATGGGTAAGCATGTTACTTTCCGTTTTCTTGTTTTTGAAAAGGCCCCATGGTGTATGCGTGTGCTATATCACCAATCGTTCGTTTAGATGAATTAAAAACTATTGGACTTGCTGGTGAGTATGGGTAGCTTTGTAATATTGGTCAACACGTTAATATTTGTGTTAAACAGTTAACCTATTAATTATACCACCACTAATATTCTTATTCCTGACATTAGGTTGTGGTATTTGTTGTAAACTCTTATTCTTTCATTATAATCTAGACTCAAAGAAATTAGATGAAAACCAACGTGAAAAATTTTTACAAGATATGTTGAGTAAGTGTGACTGGATATCTGGAGTTGTGCATGTCATTAGTCCTGTATACATTACAGAAAAAATGCTTGATAGGTGAGTAAATCTTCATTAAACTGCGTACAACTTTTCTGTTTTTATTGCCATGTTGTGCTAAATTATTACTGATTTTATATCTACCAATGTGATTTGAAGTTTGATTGCATATATTTTGAGGTATATATATTCCCTGAGGTAAAATCGTTTGCCACAGAACTTTGAAATGAAATTCTAGCCATCATTATGAAAACCAATTTTGAACCAGTGGGAGTAGGGATTTCCTTGCGCATATATGTATGTATATCTATTCCACTCAGCTGTCTAACCTTGTCCTCTTCAGGTTGGTTCTTTGCTTTTATCGAATTGGTTAGGCTGTTTTTGATTTGGTTCGACAATTGTTTGTATCGTTGTTCTGATTACTTTTTTGACTGTAGTCAATTGGTGTTCACTATCTTATTTCTGTTTTCCTGAACTTCACCTTCATTTGCTTATATATGGATATTCAAATGTCTGTTGTTTTCCGTTTTATCTAAACACCACGCCTGTAGAAATCGCCTCAACTGCTTTATCTTTTCAAGACGTAAAAACTGCTAAACCTAGAAAATTTAATTCACAATGAGCGCCCTGTAGAACTAAAGGCAAGAAATGTCAGTACACACCCTTGACGCCTCTGTGAATCAAACGCGAAACCTTCAGGCTGTGCGCCCAGCGCGTCACCATTGAGCTACTCAACGATTGCATTGGATGGAGGTCGCGCTATATCGCGAACTGACAGGACAGAATGTGGACCATTGGATTCCTACCCAGTGGCTCAATGGTGATGTACTGGCCACAGAACCAGTGCTCCCAGGTTTTCAATGGTTCTCTAACTGATGTCGGTGTGTGATGAATGCCAAACTGAAATATTCAATCTACAAAAATCTTGACAGTTAAGAGACAGTAAATAACCAAGACTACTATCCAGTTTACGCAATAGGACCAATTGGTCACACAAAGAATTAAATTGTGAAGTTTGATCAAGGTGAACAGATCAACCATTGAGAATACGGTTTATCAATATTCGAAATCCAAAGTTAGGAAAGTTGACCAGCCTGATGAAGGCAAGGTTAAATAGCTGGGTAAAATACACTCTTCAAGATATGAACAAGAAAACCGTTGTCTTTACTGTTTCTAAACTGGCACTTGCGGTGGCTAGAATTTCATTGCAAGGTCTGTCGAAAAACACTAATACCTCAACGTAAACAGAATGTTGCCGTACGTATGTATTCATTTTAGCCAGAACCAGCTACACCGGAATTCTCACCTGCATACCCTAAGTAGTGTTCTAAATGAACCTGGTCGATATGACCAATGTTTTCTTTCAGTCCGCAGCTTTCCACCGCTCAAGATGGTCGTAGCAACGTAGAGCCTCACACAAAGAAACTAAAAAAATTGAAGAGAAACAGTTTTAAAGGGAATAAAAAGCTCACTGGTAGAAAGATAACATAAGTTTAGAGTTATTAGATATTCGAACTTTATCGAAAAACATATTCGGCCAAGTCAGTATCAAAGTAGGGCGTGGTAGTACTGTGTAACGGTCCAGTTTACCACAAGTCACTACAGCTCACCGAGGTAGAAGATAGCAAGATGAAAGATAGATTATTTAAGGAGAGTAATCACAAGTAGCAGAAAGTCATGAAAAGGGAGGAAAAAAAGGTAAAACAATAGTGATATGCAGCATGTTGATTCGGATAACAACGATATATGGATGTGTGTGTCACTGAGGTTCATTCGCAACCATATCACCTAGAGCTTTTCAGTAACCAACTTTAGTTCTCACGCGAGCCTCAATCAGCATGTCTACATAAGTAATATATCTGCACCACTTGGATCGATTTTGAAACAGTCAGGTTTTTTAACTGGTTGGGGATGCAGTATGAGATGCAATCCAGCTCAGTAACTCTTCACTCCACGTCAGTGTCATAAAATGACTATCTCTATATTTTATGCAACCCATTTAATGTTTGTAAACAATGTTCGATCTGAAGGCTGTTAGGAAATTATGCTTAGAGCCTTCCTAGGACAGCCGAATTACTATTGTAAATTAAATTCACCTATTGGTCAAAGATCGTTACTATTCTCGAAGAAGCTGATGGAGCGACCACCAATTTTGAGGACTCATGATGATAGACTATGTCACTCTGCGTTGTATACCAAATAAAAAAATCTGGTATGGAATTACATTCTGCCTAACTTTTGCACTTTCATCGAGATACGGCTTCATTTTGATTTGTTTATTGGATGTACCATGCAGTGAAACATTACTATTTATTCATAAACATTTAGTAAACGGACTGAAATGTTACTATAATCAACCACAGGGCTCAAGTTATGCTTCTGTTTGGTTGACACGGAACTTTTACAGATTGTCAACTCAAAATGACCAGTTTTCACAAGTATAAGGTGGGACTGCCTTTTCAAACCAGATGAAGTCCCCGATTACCCAAAGAATGGCCTGGGTCGGTCTACTTCATCCAACCGTTTGATAAAATACGATAAGTTTTGCTCACTACATTCTATCAGCACTTACACTTCCTCAGATGCATAAACACCTTTTCACTAACCTTCACAGAAACAACAAACACAACTAACAACAAATCCTGTTCGAGCACTTTGTATTTTGATAGTCTAAAGTTGATAGCATGAAAGAGATCGTCACCGAATGAATAAGTGGTTTTTGTACAGTTTGTGTATTACTGCACGAAACGATATCGTGCGTTTGCTAAAATTTCAAAACTTCCTATGGGTAATGTGTCTGCACAACGACTGCTACTATAAACGTCCTACAGAGTTGTTTCTGGAATCATCTCGGTGACTGAGTTTAAGACGACAAGTTCGATTCAAACGCATGGGAACACTCCATCTAGCTACGCCTTGACCAACCCAGTCAGCTGTATCATCATCAACCAGCGTACAGAACAGGAAACCTAATGGTATTTCAACACTTCAAGTTCTTTTCGTTCATACATCTCGTTAGCTGGTTTAGTTGTGATTAGTCATGGAGAACTGGAGGTTTCTTGAAGTGGTTGGAGTAAAAAGGTCAACGAAAACTTTTGAATGAATCCAGTAGGCGTTCAGGGTCTTTGATACTTATTGATCGCCGTGCCATCTACGTCACACTTAGTGTTACTGGACATCTGTTTCTTTCTTCCAGTAGTTTGTATAATATAGAAAAGCTTCAAGTAATTTCAGGATGCATCTCCGGGTTAATTTTTGTCAAAGCTTTGTGATTACCAGGTTTTTCATGAGATTTACTGCATAGTGAACTGACAGACACTGGAGCTCTCTCTAACCACCCAAGCTTAGGGTGAAGAAATTATACCATTTCATAATGACAATTATCGTTTTTAGGCTTTCCGGTTGCTCATTCTCTACTACATAACCTGTTGGATATTGTGAATTCTTCGAGTACATGATCCAAAGTATCTCATAGTCTGCTAATTGGTATCACATCATTTGCATGTGGTCTCCAGCCATCATATTACTACCGCAACTTTTGTTTTTACTGTAACTTAATGTACTACTTTGATTTCATTATTCTACTATATCTTGCTAGTACTAAAGGTATAGCGTTACATTAATGGACTTAAATGGATACAATTCTTTTCTAGATCAAAGACGAGTCTGAATGCTATATCCCATGATTCTGCCATAGGTCTTATTCAAACTGTTTTGGATCAAGGAATTAATCTGGTTGAGGTAATACATAAAAATATTAACGCTTTAATCAGTATTAACTGATACATAGTATCTCTTACTTTTATGTATGATATTGCAAGTGTTAATTTTTTTTCCTAACGAGATCCACTGAAAAAGATGGTAACCGGCAACTGGTTGTATAAAGAATACTTGACTACTCCCTTGCTTTTTGGTATACAAAGCAAATATTTGCTTCATTATTATTAAATATATGTACGTTTCAACATTCACGAAAGTTCAATTACTATCAGAATGAAGTATGATCTCAGCTGAAAGAGGAACGTAGGTCAGTTTAGTTAGGAAAACCCTGATCAAAATTAGATGTTTAGCTATTGAATAAATGTATTATTTTAAACGATCATATTTGCCCGTATGTTCACTGGTAGATATGATCATGTAACATATAGCTATTCAAAGTACAAAAAATAAAATTGCAGGCTTTTTCGCAGCATTGCTCATGTGTTATGGAATCACTGTGTGACCAATGGTGAGGTAAGACGTGGGGTACTAGACAAGGTTGTAAATCTTCAGCTACTGAGGTGGCTTGGATACGTGTTATATATGTTGAGCCACTGCCTACCTAGACGTGTGATATTAGTCGAAGTAGGATTAGGTTGGAAATAGGTTAAGGGCACGCAGACCGAGACATGGCACTAATCCATGAAGTATTCGACTGTTGGTATTAGACGTGTAGGAAGATGTAGGTTACCTGGCCTGGAATCAATAGTTGCAGACTGTCGGAGAATCGGTCGCAACAGTGCAGATGTCCACACTATTTGTCTTTTTTGAAGTCTTGGATATTTTCATCAATCTTCATATATCTGTTCTGTGAACTCTTATGCTCTTTGTCTTCCGCAATATCACTTTTCATCCACCTTTTCTTTGGATGCCACTGTGAAATGTGGCAACTTAGACCTATGAACTTCAGCGCCAGGTTCTACGTTGATTTGTCTGTCTGCTAGCATGTTTGTTAGCTTCAAATATTTGCGTTTTTCATTACCGTTAAATTCTTTTATGTGATATCTTCGAATCGATCTCGATCCATCTCCCTTTGCTCTTTGAACATCAACTTTAGTGCTCTGCTGTATTTCTATCTCAACGTTGCTATCGGCCATATCAGATGGCTGACTGACAAAGCGTAGAACCTCGCACATAGGTAGGTACATCGATCCAAGTAGCCACACTTCACAGTAGTACACAAATAACAGTTGAATGGGAAAAGACTGATTTAAAGTAGAGAAAGTTGTGCAATGACGCAGAAGGGGCCTAGGCATGTGTAACAAATACCCAAGCCACCTCAGCCAATGATGGTTCACAACCTCATCAACTGATTTTCCTCTACTCCCTAAAACTCTATACCTGACATCTGCATTACTGACGTGGTGACACCACGACACACTGCATGTGCTACAAAGGAAATGGCAGTCAAACACCTTAACTCGCCTCCTGCCATCCACTTTTAATAAATATGTTTCGCAACCGTAGGCAGACACAGAGAAGATCAACATAGAACCTAGAACGGTCCACGTTGTCACACTTCTTATCAGCACATTAAGCGAGATGAAAGGTTGCGAAATAAAGAAGAAACCAGTCAAAAATGGTAGAAAGTAATAAGATGTCAAGGACTGATGGGAGAATACTGAGATTCAGTTTGACGATTCAGATGGGGTCTATGTGTGGATATATCTGACCCATGTCACTTAGAGTCTCCAACCATTGGTTTCCGTTGTGACACAGACACCAACTGGGAAATCTACACTCCCGTACACGGCTCAGACCGACAGTCGAAGATTTTACACCCCAATGCCATGTTTTAATCTGGTCGCCCCTAACTCTTCTAACCTGAGCCTAGTATGACCAGGCATGCATGACATATGCCCAGTCACCTCAGGCGATAAAGGTTCATAGCCTCACCAACTAACGTTTCTCTTCTCCCTAAATCTTTACACCTGACTTCCACGTTACTGACATGTTGACAACACCTATACTACGTAGGCAACAGTGGTCGAATATCTGAAGTCTTCTATGTGGTACATATCATGATTACTAAGAAGAAAGCAATTATTTGGACAAGTGCTGTTATTCGATTATTTATTTAAACAAACGGTAAAAACTTTCTCCTCTTCATAAAAGATAAATTTACTTTTAATATTTATTTTTCAAAATTCATAGTGAAAGTAATTTTTCTGACAGTCTCATATATTTATTGTTATTGCTTGTGTTTACACCATAAGGTATACGTTGACACAGTTGGTAAAGCTGAACATTATAAAGCGAAACTACAAGGTCTTTTTCCACAATTGAAAATACGCGTTGAAAGCAAAGCTGATGACACTTATCCAATTGTTAGTGCTGCAAGTATTTTTGCTAAAGTAAGTTGTGTGAAAAATTGGAGTTTAGTGTTTCTTTTTCTTACCATTGTTAGTATTGACTCAACAATAATTTGAAATAATCTACTCTCAATCTTTCATATCAACATGACGTTAAGAAAATATTGAACATATACACGAATATGCCGATATATTGGGAGAATTTCGATCCTAGCTAATTTACAGTATAATAACATTGCTAATGGTAATCATGTTGTCGATTATCTAAGTAGGATGCTATTTCACTTCCCTAACTAACTTTACTTCTTTCTTGAGATCGAATCCATAATGGTAGCTCACTGTTGATTATTTATTATTATTATTAGTCCCTTGGGTTCCTAGTGGAACATAGGGCTTCAGTAGCACGCCTCCAGTGACCTCTGTTCTCTGAGATCTTTTGAACCTGGTTCCACGACAGCCCACAACCTCTCATTTCCTCCTCGCACGACCTCCTCCATGTCACCCTCGGACGTCCAACTCGTCGCTTCCCATGGGGATTCCACTCGAGTGACTGGCCTGACGCGTGATGTCCTCAGTCGGCCTTCTCAGTGCATGGCCAATCCATCTCCACTTCTTCCTGCATATTTGTTGCGTGATAGGTTCTTGGTTGGTTCGTTCCCAGAGTTCCTTGTTGCTTATTTTTTCTGGCCATCTGATCTTCAGCAGCGAGCGTAAGCAGTTGTTGATGAATGTCTGTAGTTTATTGGAAATGCCTTTCGTGACGCGCCAAGTCTCTCAACCATCACACTTAAGCACTGACTTGACGTTGGTGTTGAAAATCCGTATCTTGTTCCGCATGCTGAGTGCAGAAGATCTCCACACTGGTTTCAGGCTAATGAATGCCTGTCTTGCTTTTCCGATTCTGACTTTGACGTCCTCGTCCGTCCCGCCTGTAGTTGAAACAGTGCTTCCTAGATAAGTGAAGGAGGTTACTTCCTTCAAGTTTCTACCGTTGACGGTGATTGGAGTTTGTTGTTGTTGTTGATGGTGGTGGTGCGGTATCTTCATCACTTCTGTCTTCTCTATATTCACCTGAAGTCCCGTCTTAGCTGCCTCCTCTGTCAACTTGTTAGTTTTTGCCTGCAGATCTTCAAGTTTATGTGACATTAGGCATAAGTCATCGGCGAAATCCAAGTCTTCTAGGTTCTTTTCCGTCGTCCAGTGTATCCCCCTCTTCTCGCTGCCTACTGTTTGCTGCATGATCCAGTCCACCACAATAAGGAATATCATGGGGGATAGTAGGCAACCTTGTTTCACTCCTGTCTTCACTTCAAAGGCATCACTGAGCTTCCCATTGTGGATTACTTGGCATGTGGCATCTTCATATAGTTGTTGAATGAGGCGGATAAAGGTTTGCGGTACTCCGTAGTATTGAAGCAGTTTCCAAATTACTTCTCGGTCGACGCTGTCAAAGGCCTAGCTCACTGTTGATGTTATTTACTAATTTACCTGCAAATGTCCTTAAACTTGGGTGATGAGTGAAGCCAAGATGTATTCAACTATCAGTCATTCGATCACACCATTACTAGCAGATGATGAAAATAATGAGTTGGTGATGAAATTCATGATTAATCTTATAGCTTAAGGTGCACGGAGTAAATCACGTAATGCAATTATTATTTATTTATTATTTGTCCCTTGGGTTCCTAATGGAACATAGAGACTCAGTAGCTCGTCTCCAGTGCACTCTCTTCTCTGAAATCTTTTGAACCTGGCTCCACGACATCCCACAAGCTCTCATTTCTTCCTCACACCATCTCCTCCATGTCACCCTCTCCTCGGACGCCCAACTTATCGCTTCCCATTTGGATTCCACTCGAGGGACTGGCCCACTCGGCCTTCCCAGTGTATGCCCAATCCATCTCCACTTCCTTCAGCATATTTTTGAGTGATAGGTTCTTGATTGGTTCGTTGCCAGGGTGAGTTCCTTGTTGCTTATTCTTATTATTCTAACCATCTGAGCTTCAGTAACGAGCCAGCGTAGGCAGTTGTTGATGAATGTCTGTAGTTTGTTGGAAATGCCTTTCGTAACACGCCAAGTCTCTCAACTATCACACAGAAGCACTGACTTGATATTGGTGTTAAAAATCCGGATGTTGTTGGGGTTTTATGCTGAGTGCAGTGCAGTGGATTTCCACACTGGTTTCAGGTTGATGAACGCCTATCTTGCTTTTCCAATCCTGGCTTTCGCGTCCTTGTCTGTGCCACCTGTAGTTGAAACAGTGCTGTCTAGGTAGGTGAAGCAGACTACTTTCTTTAAGTTTCTCCCATTGATGGTGATTGGAGCTTGTTGTTGTTGTTGGTTGGGTATCATCATCACTTGTTTTCTCTACGCTCACTTGAATGGTGTCCCGTCTTCGCTGCCTCTTCTATCAACTTGTTAGTTTTGCCTGTAGATTTTCAAGTTTGTGTGACACTAGACATAAGTCATCAGCGAAATCCAAATCTTCTAGCATCTTTCCCCGGTCCAGACAGCGTACCCCCCTCTTCTCGCTCCTCACTGTTTATTGCGTGGTCCAGTCCACTACAATCAGGAATGTCACGGGTGATAACTTAATGCAATGGTAGGTCACTATTGGTCTGTATGCCTTACCAATGCATATATTGACGTGTGACTTTACTTTGGGGTAAGATTAAAGGGAAATGAAACTATAAAAAATCATATCAAGAAACTGTATAAAAGCATGTGCCCACTGACTGTTAATTTCACATGTTAACAACTATAAGCTTACTTACTAGTTAGGATTCATTGTATAATAGATATCGATAGTAGGAGACTAGGGTGGGTAAATCCATTACTCTTTCTAATTTCAGAACATCTAGCTGTTTTCTTTCTTCGTCTATTCATCACTATCATCTTATATCTTTGTGTTCGGTGTCAATATATTGTTCTTATTAATCTCCATCTGACTATGCTGCATAAAACATGGCAAATGAAAATGGTATATCCGGTTTTTGTGTTGTGTAATTATTTGAACTCAGCAAAAACTGATCTCTTCTCAACAACTGATTTATTGTCAAACTGTACATTTGTATATGTATAACCTCTGAAAAAGTGTAACATGTGAAGAAATTTGGTTAATGACTGATGATGTTTGACACTAATGACATTTATAGTCGTAATTATTCAAGATGTTGAAGTTGAATGGTGTTAGCAGAAGGGGTTGAGTAAGATTGTGGATTGTTTATGGAATATCTGCGGCTTAGAGGTGTAAAACTTGTTAAAATAGTAAGCACTATAATGGGAATACGACAAGTTTAGTAGATTTACCGTGTTTGTTTAATTGAAAATTGAAGTGAGTAGGAACAAAAATGCTGGAAATTGTTAAAATTAAAACGAATAATGGCAAAGTAGAATATAACGATCAATCTAAAAACGAGGAAAAAAGTTGAAAAACACAATGTTATGACCATCACAAAAAGTCTGTGTATACGTCTCCTGCACACAAATACCAGACATCCTTCCAAAAATAGTCAGCGCCTCTGCTGTCCTGAGTAGTTGCGAATGAAGGGAACGTAAAAGATTTAGCTGAACTCGATAAATAATCTCATAATCATCGTTTGGATCAGCACTGGCAGATAGTTATTTAGACTTATTAAGGAAACTGGGGCAAAATGGTCGGTGGTTAGTGAGACCATAGAGGGGAAGGATGGGTCTGTGATTCACTCACGGGAAGACGACTGGAACAATGGGTGGAGCACTTCAACGAACAGTCCAGCTGACCTCCGGAAATTATTTCGCTGCCCACTATACAGTGGGATTCTGAATGGAACATCGAAAGAAGACCTTCAACAGAAGTTGAGAGAAGTGTTGCTAACATAAAAATAGAAAAAGCAGCAAGTCTAGGGTGACTAGGTCAAACTGACCGAAGTGTTAACAAGTGTCTAAGAGTCAGATACGGTACTCCCTGACTGACCTGAACCACTGGTTTTCCCACTCCTCAAGAAACGTGAGAAATCCTCATGTGATAACTACAGAAGAATCAGCCTGACCTATGTAGTCTAAGATTTTAGGTTCTGTAGTTATAAGACGTCTGAGTGTAGCTGGGTAACAACAAAACCCGGGAAAACTAGGTTGGGATCAGACCTAGCGGTGGGTGTATCCACTAGATATCCACACTCCACCAGGTTCCAACACAGCCACACTTGCCAACACCCGACACTGGCTATATTTCTCAATCTAAACGCGGCTTTCGATCCCGTCTATCGAGAGGTCTTATGGCAGTGTCTATCAGTGAAAGGGGTGCCGAGTATTTAAATCACTCTGTTGAAGACTGTGCACTTGAACATGCGTAGGCGCGTGAGAAACTATGATGAGTCATCAGGTGCATTGTGTACGTCGAGTGGTGTCCATCAAGGATGTCTACACACACACACACATACACACGAAGACGCTGACAAGATGAGTCTTGTGGACACATCGGGTGGCAATTTGAGAATGTTTGGGATATGTTTCTCATTACTTAAATTCAAATTGCATGGTCGGTTTTCAATGGTGCCCTGTCTAACGATATGGAGTGAGATGGTTGAGCGCACTGACCACTTCACTTGCCTGGAAGGTAGGATCAACCTTCGTGCACTGGTCAGTGGTTGATGAGATCTCTTCACGGATGAAAAAGGCTAGATTGGCTTTTGCCAGCTTACGTCATTTATGGCACCGCCGTGATATCCGATTATCTATTAAGAGTCGAGTGTACTGTGCTGCAGTTTTCTGTTCCACGGTATGGCTATGAAACATGAGCATTAAAGGTGAAAGACATGAGAAAGCTTCAGTTATTCAACTACCTTTACCTTCATAGGCCATGTGTCGTACTGTCACCACGTCAGTAACGTAAAAGTAAGGTGTAAAGTTTTAGAAAGAAGAGAAACGTCATTGGATGAGGTTGTGAACGTTCATCGACTAAGGTGACTGGGACATGTGTTACACATGTCTCGTCACCGTCTGCCTCACCACACAAAGTTACTGAAGTAAATTCAGGTTAGAAAAGTGTTAATGGTGGTCAGACTAAACCGTAACATCTGTGTATGAAATTGTTGACTGTTGGTTTGTCTGAGTCATGTGGGGACCCTTCTGGGGTCTGCCTGACAACTAAAATCGATGGTCAGAGACTGTAGGTGATGTTCATCAAAATCATTTTCAGTGGCACAGATGCATCAATATATCTTGATTTTACTTCTGAAGTTGAATACTATTATAGTTTTATCCCTCTCCCTTGTTTAGTTATCTTCCATCTTGGTGCTTTCTATTCTGATATGGCAAAGTGATTTTTAGCTAATTGGTACTGTACGCAGTAATGCAAAGTCCTGTATTTACATTGACTGACTGACTTTTTCGATCAGGTGAATGATCGACATCAGTGAGATGTTCTGAAATGTCTTTGAAATAGCCTTATCCCCTTTTTTATTGTTAAGATTCATGGATTATAGTTTATAGAATACTCGCAGATAGACAGTTTGAAGAGGAATCCGTTCGCTGAATTTGTTGTCATTTTTTCACCCAGTGTTTCATATTTTCTATGTTAACAGATAAATTCCTTGATGCGTTTGTACTTGTCTTACCTTTCAATGATAAATGAACGTTTTGAATGATATCCCAGAGCATTTGAAGGATGGGAAGTATACTGCATCCTTGTTATGGAACGAGTAGTAGTAGCAGTAGTAGTGGTTGCTTAAACGTTTTTAATTAGTTCTGTGCACAACATTTCTTGTGAATAATTTCGTTGTATATTTAGGTTACTCGTGATCGGGTTCTTCAAATGTGGCCGAAAGAGGAACGTGGTAAAATACCGGAAGACACTGGTATTGGTTCTGGATATCCAGGTGGTAAGTGTCATCTTCATGTAACATGGATAAATCGTATATTGACAGTTTTTTCATCCCCCAAATTAATAAAGTCATTAGTTATTATCGGATCACATCATAGTCATTTCAGACGAGCCTAACTTGCTTATTGTTGAACTGTAAAGATATTTCAGGTTGGTATTCATCATAGACTAACATCAGTTGGAGGAACAATGGAAACCTGGGAGCACTGGACAGCTGTTTCGTCCCAATATGGAACTCCTCAGCAGCGCGCACCCACGACCCCGCCAGGGATCGAGTCCGAGACCTTCGGGTTCCATGGCCAGCACGTTACCATCGAGCCACTGGGTCAGAATCCAATGGTCCATATTTCCAACTTCTGCCAGTTCACGATATAGCGCAACTGCCATTCAATGTCATCGTTGAGTAACTGTCCTCACGACAATCAGGCTAGCCCCACTCGTCACGACTTCTCATTGGAACTTCGCGAATCACCTCTCGAAGCTAGTCACCAACGAGTACCAGTTCAACTGAATTTCGAGGAGGTTGTGGGGATTTAGAAATATTTCAAGTTGGTATCCATCATAGACTGACATCAGTTGGTGGAACAATGGAAACCTGGGAGCACTGGACAGCCGTTTCGTTCTGGTATGTGACTCAGCAGTGCGCACCCACGACCTCGCCAATTTGAAATATTTCTAAATCCTCACAACCTCCTCGAAATTCAGTTTGACTGTAAAGAGTTGAGTAGTCATTGGCATTGCCAAAGTTCTATCCTTCTTTCTTTTTGTCGTCGTAGAGAAACTGTGCTTTTAAACAGTTGAAAACTGATATTATTGACAATTTTGACCGTTGTGGTATTAGCTATCAGTTAACTGCTTGGAAGCTTAACAGAGAATTTTTAGTATTCAGCATTGAAATCATTACCAAAATTATTTTCTAAACGTTATTTTTCAATTTGTTTGAAAAAAATTTACAAATTATGGCTCAGTTAAGTGTACATACTGTTTAAGAGCTGCCTACTTACTTGGACCGAAGTAAATAGAGCTGAATATAAACTTGCGACACATTTCTTAAAGATCCACTACCTAAGCTAACTGACTACACCTCTACAATTCTGTATCATACATACAGATAACAGCAAATGGGATAAATGGTTGTTAAAGCAAGAGAGAGAGAGAGAGAGAGAGAGATGGTTGTGCATGACAGCATAATGAAGTAATACGAATAAAATTTGTCTTTTATTCTTTTTGTTGGTGTTCTTGAAGTCACCCATCTCCTTATTGTCTGAGGTTTAATAATTAACGTGGTGTGCCACTTACTCGCAGTGGTTGAAAACTCTAGGTTGTCTCAGAATCGATGTCATTGGTGCAGATATATCCACACATTATCCTCATCTTAATCGTGATAATGAATTCAGTATTTTCTTATTACTCATTATTATTATTATTATTATTATTATTATTATTATTATTATTATTATTATTATCAGGACTTTCTACCGCTTTGACTGCTTTCCTCCTCCCCCCCCCCATTTGGTTATTTTTCATTTTAATGCATTCTTGCCTAATGTGTTGATATGAAGTGTTGCATCTTGGACTGTTATACAGTAATGGCTTTGGGTGAGTATGTAGAGTTCACTTTTAAAAAGCCTCATGACTTAATGGAATTCTGTACACCAAAAAAGTGGCACCAACTTTTTTTCACTCTTCTGGTCGATATTACGATGAAATCACTAATGATTTTGGTCACTCTTTAGAAGCATCTTACTACTGTTACAACTCAGTTCAGTCAGCAGTACAACTTCAACCTTGAACTTAAAATTATTCTGTAGTGTTTCAATTGCGAAGGAAGTTGATTTTCATCTCGCTATCCGATACACCTTCTTAGAATGGTAGCACTTCAAAAGAACAAGTGTCCCGAGTGATGTAGCTCAAATAAGCCATTACCCAACTGTCAGACCTAATCACAGTGATCATGTAACAAAGTAAGTAGTTTTATTCCAAGGTGGTATTCATCGCAGACTGACATCAGTTGGTTGAACCGTTGAAAACCTTAGAGCACTGAACAGTTGTTTATTCCTTGTATGGGACTCCTCATCAATGTATAACGGCAACCCTCCCCCCTTAGGGGTTGAACCTAGGGCCACCATATCTCAGGCACTGGGTTAGAATAGATTAATTTACATATTCTTACTTCTGTCAATTCGCCGTATATCGCGATCATTATCAAATACTATCGGGGAGTACTTGTCCTCACACTCAACTTGGCCGACCCCACATATCATGACTTCTCATTACTTTTAGTTTATTTATTTATTCATTTATCACTGTTGGCGCTTACACTGATTTTAATCTTCAGTAAAGGCATCCCTATTACCTGACGATATTTGATGAAATTTATGTCTATATTAGAGAGAACAAGGCAAGATAAAGCGAGTCTATACTGTTCTCTCTCTCTCCCGCCCTCTCTCTCTCCCCCTCCCTCTCTCAAGTATTCTTCAGCATCTAAAGTATCACGATAGAATTTCTGTAAATCTTTCATTATACTCTGACTGTTTTAATTCCTAGATGTTTATTCAATAATCTATAGCTCAATAATGCTTATTTCAATTGTGAATGTTTATTGCATTTGTTCAGATCCTGTGACAAAAAGTTATTTACGTGCATGTATGGATCCAATTTTCGGATTCCCATCAATTGTACGATCTAGTTGGTCAACTGCAACCACTCTTTTATCCCAATATGGTGTACCAGTTAAATGGTAAGTTATGTAAATGTAGTATTCTCTTTATTGATTCATAAAACGGTTCTTAACTTTTTTTAATATCGCAATACTAGTTCATTGTATATACCTTATATAGTGACATTTTTTGGCATTCATCTCAAGTCAGTTTTGTTTTCATCCATTCATTATTTGAGATCAGCCGTGGTATCTATAAACTTTTAGTTGTATTTACTGGATAATGACGGCTGACGATAATATTTCTTATTGATACATCTGTTCCCTTCGATTTAGAGTTCATTGACCTGGGCTATTGACTTTCAAGTATATTGATACTGGATGATGATTAAAGGTAGAATGAAAATTGTTGTTGCGCGAGGATTTGAACCAGCGACCATCATCGGGTTTCCGGCTTAGTAGTGGTGTATCAACTGAGCTACGAGGCCTGATTGCTGACCAAATTTTTATTTCACTTCAATCACTAAGAATTTTACCCGGCTACCATATGAATTCGTAACGCGGTACTACCACTTGATCATACTCACACTAGTTGCCCAGTGAGGACTTCTCATCCTAATCGAAATCTACTTGAATTAGAGAGATGGATGAAGCATCATATTGATTATCTTTTTTGACTTTCTGAGATAGCCGTGGTTTGGGAGACGGTGAAAATCCTTAGTGATTTAAGTGGAATAAAAATTTGGTCAGCAGTTGGATCTTGTAGCTCAGTTGGTAGAGCACTGGGCCAAAAACCCTTTCGGTCGCTGGTTCGAATCCCTCTGCGGCCTTCAATTATCACCTAGTATCACTACCAGTCTACCAAGTCATGGCTGTTTCAGATAGTCAAATTTTCAAGTACATGTTAAAAAGTGATTCTTATGAGTTCCCATAAAGCTACTAGTATTTTCAGTTACCGGAGTATTGTACAAGGTAAAATAGCTGTCTGTTGTATTATTTATTTTTTTCTGTTTCATTTATTCAACTAAATTGTGGCTCATTGGTTTAGGGAGTTGACTTTCAACCAATGGATGATGGGTTCGAACATTTCTCCACCTACCGGGATCTCCGCAGTCAGGTAGTATCACTGACCTTCCTTATATACTCCACGAATGTGAACCAGGTCACTGAGTAGATTTCATTCGTTCGCTCATTCGACATTCCAAGCAGTAGGTTCTAGTTTTACATCTCAGAGAATACAGTGGTACTTTGCAGAAATGAAAGTATTTTCGGTTCCTAAATGAGATTGTATTTAATTCCTGCATTTCACTGCTAGTCACCAATCAGTAAACGGTTTCTATTTAACTATTCATCCTCTCCTGTTCAGTAATCTTGTTCAATGCTTGAGAACTCTTCGTTCCGTTTCACAAGAAACCTTTGTAGAATTGTAATTTTTGATAGGTTGTGGTCAGGAATGCAAATGAGAGTTGCATAAAACGCGTTAACATATTTTACAGTGTGAATAAGCGACTGGTGTAAAGTAAGCGTGAGTTCAAATCAAGATATCTGAATACGTAACAAAATGGTGAGATAATAATTATCAAACTTCAGCGAACTAATTTGTTTAAAGTGATCATCCTTAGCAGCTGTACTCACATTTAAAAACAATTGGTGAGCATATTTATTGCATAAAATGCCACTTTGAATTTGGAATTCAATGCGAATGCTGAGCCACCGCCTACCTCGACGTCCCATGCTAGGGGAATTTGAATTAGATTAGAAGAGGGTTCAGGGTGGCGAGACCAAGACTTAGCACCTAGTCGATGGTATCTCTCACTATTGGTCTGAGTCGTGTGGGAAGATGTGGACTGCTTGTGGACTGTTGGGGTCACCGAGGCGATTAGAATCAGTGGTTGAGGACACTTGGTGACATAGCTGGAAATCGGTCACAATGGCGCAGATATATTCACCCTTCGACGTCTTCTAAGGCTTGGATATTTGCACTAACTGTTATCGTCAAAATGTTTATTGTTTCACACAACTGTGTCTACTTTGATATAATTCCTTTTTTATCCACTTGTTATTTGTATACTTCTGTGAGGTAGGGTAAATTAAGCCGATGCACTTGTCTGCGAGGTTCTACGTTGATGGTTTTAGTCAGTCAGCAGATGTAGAACTGATATGGAGACTGATGAAGGCTGTCAACCGCTCTGAAAATCACTCATACAGAGCGCTTAAAGGTGATCACATATTGTCATTGCAAGCCACTTACATATGCTTATATCAGTTCACTTGCTGCTGTGGAACTAAACTATTGAACGTCGACGCCAACACCTTCCAGCATGGTTCAGTAAAGGTAAACGCAGACCAATCAATAGTTCTTCAATACGCCACTTAACTGGTAGCGGAAACTTCCAGAAGATTCATGTTCAGTAGTCTACAAGTACAACGTAATCTTCCGAAGGGTATGGGGAGATGTTTACGTTGCATTGCCGACGCTCTGGTTATACAAAAATGAGAACGGATTGTGTTACCAGAAACAACTTTGCCATTCACTGCACTTACCTGGGAAGTTGGGTCAGCCCTGGTAGGGACGGTGGGCGACGAAATTTCTGCAAAGATACAAAAGGCTCAGTTGGCTTTTGCCTACTCATGCCATCTTTGGCGCTGCCCCAATATCTGTTTGTCCATTAAAGGTTGAGTGTACTGTGCTGTAATCTACTCTGTTCTGCTGTATGGCTGTGAAACATGGCCATTAAAGGTAGAAGATATGAAAAGGCTTCACGTGTTTGACCACTGTTTCCTTCGTTGTATAGGCCGTATTCCCGGGGTGTTACCATGTGAATAGCACAGGAGTCACGTAGAGTTTTAGACAGAAGAGGAAAGACAGTTGACGCAGTTGTGAACCTTCGTCGACTCAAATGGGTTGAAAAATGTGTTACACATGTCTAGTCACCGTCTGTGTGACGACACGATGTAGGCCGAAGTAGGTTCAGGCCGAAAAAAGGCTCGGGGCGACCAGGCTTGAACATGGTATCAATGCATGAAGTTTTTGGTTTGAACCATGTAGGGAGATGCAGATTAGCCGGTTGGGGTCTACAAGATGCGGTAATGCCTGGTCCTATGTTGATCTTGGTGATGACGATGATTTTCTGTTCATATTCACTTCTTAATCTTCAAGCTTTCCAATTCTTAAGCCCAACTAGTTGTTTCAATTTTCATATTATTACTTAAAGGTTGCTAACTTTTCCTTCTACACTGACATCTGTTTATTCATTTTATTGTGGATTCTTCAATTCTTGATTTCAACTCATACTTGCTGATTCATATTTTCAAATACTTTCGTGTTCCGTATGTAACTTCTATCTCTATATTAATCTTCTTGGCCACAACCTACCAGGCATTAATGATTGACAAATTTTGACATCTTTCAGCAATAAATATACACACCAAATTATACCTAAGTGTGGTTATATATCTCGAAAATGGAATGAAAATTCACTTAACCAGCATGTGTACTTCCGTGCAATAGGCAATAAACCTCATCTGTTTTATACGGGCTAATGATACTGCCTGGCTATCTGGACTGGGTTTGAACTCCGTGGTGTACCAGTTAGAAGTTGAATGCGTGGACCAATGGACCACAAATACATCTTTTTTATTATGTGGTATTCAAGATAAGAAGTTGGTACTTAAACTGGAAGATTACGTAATGATAAGATAAAAAAATCTGAAACTGCAAAAACAGTCAGTTGTGTTTAAGGATTGACAGTGTTAAAAAGTGAATGAATAGTGTCAAATAGACCCAATAACAACAAGGTAATCTTTCAACATTATGGTACCATTGTAAAGTCATCGAACCACACTTTCAGTCACCCCTTCAAGTTATCATGTTTTTATAGTAACATGTAGTATTGAGAGTTAATTTTTACTTCCATTTGTGCTTGGTCAAACAAATATATTTGTAATACATTGAATATTCCCAGTTAGACATTTAGAAGAAGACTGACTGAGTAAAGAAATGTATTCTTTTTCAATCAGGTCTTCATCTTGGGCTCTACATTAATATATAGGTATACAATTTAATCAAATTACCAACCACGTGGCAATGTTTCGGATATAATGATGTAAATAATTAATAGAGTTACTAAAATTGGAAATATGAAACAAGCTATTCTTAGGTAAATGGAGTGACTTTTAATGAGTGTTAAGTCATTCACAATAAGCGATTACGTAACGACAGGAAAACAAGTGAACATTGATGAAAAGAAGAAGGGGGAGAGGTGTACAAAGTAATCCTAGAAGTCATATCATGTTGACGGTCACGGTAAAGAAAGTGGTCGAACAAACTTCTTTTGAATACAAAGACTAGGTTTGTAAAGGTGGATTGCAATCGCCTGTGCTGTGTGAAGTAAGCGAGTGCTTAATCCATGTGGTAAATTAATTGGGATGTGATGAATGATTTTAAAAGCTATTCTAGTATCCACTTGATGTCCCGTTTCAACTAGGTGTGCAATTGTGGAGCCCTTTATAGTTCTAATTTGTTCCTTGCTCAACCATGAGGGGTGGTGCTCAGAAACTCGACAATGGAACTACCTCATTGCACACCCAACATAACTAGCTCCACAGGAGTAGTTGAATTGATAAATTCACGTAGGCAGTCTGTCTTTATTTCTTGCTCCTAGAATCACGTGGTTGTAGAAGGTGGGACATAATTTAGCGGCTGAGAAGGCTTTATGCAAGACTCTGTTTATGTGGTGTGTGATGACCTCACTGTGTTTGTCACTCTCGAATTTCAGATTCAAAAAGATTTGCTTCTTATGAGCTGTTGCTGTTCTTGTCTTAACCCTCGTAACATTCATATGCTTAGTTACAAACTTGTCTGGGTAGCCATTCCTACTAAGCGGATTACGGATGGTGGCGCACTCCTCCTCTATGGCATCATCTGAGCAGATAGCTGTGGCACGGTATGCTAGGCATTTCACTAGATTCCTTTTGTATTGGAGGGGTACAGCACTAAAGAAGTGCATGTATTGACCTGCTGATATTGGTTTTCTATATACACTTCGTTTCAGAGTTCCATCTAACCTTCTTACCAACAGAACATCAAGAAATGGGATACTGTCATTTTTCTCCTCTTCCATTGTGAAGTTGATTGCTGGATGAACACTATTGAACTTATTGAGAACAGCATTCTTGTCAGTCTCACTTTTGAAAACTATAAAGGTATCATCCATGTAACGACAATATTACTCTAAACGGTTAGTTTCGTTCAGTGAACCATTCTCTAGTTTTGCCAGAAAAAAATCTGCTAAAAGCAGGCTAAGGGATGACCCCATAGCTACGCCATCAGACTGCCTGCAGAGTTCATTGTTAAAAAGGAATTGTGCGTTCATCGTACACCTCAAAAGTAGTTCTTTCAGTGTGGAGACTGGAATACCTATTTCCATGTCATGCTTTGTAAGTTCGTTGCAAATAAAGTCTACTGTTCCCATTAAAGGAACGTTAGTAAAAAGAGATGAAACATCACACGATATCAGTAACTTATTATCTACTTTTAGATCCTCAATCTTTCCAACAAATTCAAAGGTATCTTCGAGACTGTACTTTACAACTTCTTGTTTACAATAGCTGTTTCTGCTATGCAAACTGTTTATCTGAGCACTAAATAAACAATTGTATGTCATTTAATCTTGTTAGTTGGTTAGATGCAATTAAGCAGGAGGCTCAACTCAGTCTAGGTTTCGCGCTTGTTGGCACTCATCAAGCGAGTGAATGTCTCCTGTGGAACTTCATCCAACTACCATCAATCAAAGTACTTTCTTTTAGCTTGGTGACCACATCGCAAAGATGGTCGATAGAATTAGGTCACCAATCAAGATGAAACAATTTGAAATTTTGGTTACACCCCAGCAACTAACCAGTGTAATTTAATCTTGGTTAGTAAGGGAAGTATTAACGTACAGAACCTTCCAGTGATCACAATAACTTCTGTAGCAAGTTGCAACTGTAACTTTTGTGTAGCATACACTACCATATGAAATTTACGTAGCTTGAAGAATGTACGTATTCGTTGGGTGTTTTTTCCTCCGAGATTGCTCAGTTAAACTCCTAGTTTATTCACTCTGTTGCTGTGTAAATCAAACTTGTATAGTTAGCCGGTATTAAGGTATACACTCTCCCTTAAATGACTTTTTTTTAGCTTTCTTTCCATGTTTGTTTCTTCTAAATAACATTGGTTTTTATGATTATTTCTACAAAACAAAGTGTTTTATTAAGATGTCCATGGAATCGACACATTTTATGAAGCTATGCCTCTATGGTTTAGGGAGATGGCTCTCGACCGATAGGTCACTAGTTCGAGTCCATGTCTGCCTACCAAGGTTTGGGTAGTCAGGTAGTAATACTAGACAGTAGGTGTGGCTTACCGCCTACTGCATTAATGTGCTCAAGGTTTCTGAGTGCATTTTGATTCGATTCCGCCATCCAACTGACGAGTCCCAAATAGGACGAAATGCGCGTTTTGGATTTCACTGCTAGTCACCATCCATCATGAATATGAATGCAACTGTTTATGTATTCCTATACTGTTTACGATTGTTCTACTGCTCTTGCTTTACTTTTCATATCTCAGTCCATTTAAGTTGTATACTTTAATTCTACATTGATTTCCTATTTCAACGGATACCAATTGAAAAAGCACTTGTTTTGTTTGTTTATTTTTTGTGAAAGGGAAGACGATGAAACGCCTGAAGAAGCTGCTGAGGCTAAAAAGCTTGCACGTAAACGTGAACATTCCAGAGGCACTTGTAAATTATCCAACTTCTTCAGTCCTCAGTCGAAATCAGCGATGACAGTTAATGCATCGCAAAGACAGCCATTTTTTCTTCGAACTGGCCTAATGCATGTACAGATTATCACATAAGGTAGCTTACACAGATGAACCTTATATATATGAGTGAACTTGAGTTTTTGTTATCATTACCTACAACATCTAAAGTTCTCTCATGTAACTTTGTTAAAGCCTTGCGGGAATGTTGATCAGTTCAGTTGCTTGAAAAAATTAATCAGCTGTAAAAGTATCCAAAAAGAAAACACTTAAAATAACAGGAATTCCAAATTTTTGGTTTAACTTGGTAGCGCCCACATCCATTGATGCCTAGACTGCAGTGTGACTTTCTCTAGGATCAATTAATCACTTTCAGAAAGGTATGTAGTTTCTCAGTGTTTCTAAACTTTTGTAAAAGCGATAAGAATACCAAATACTAGGAGTAAGACCTAACACATTGTTATCTCACCTTAAAGCATCAAACACTACATTTCTTCCCCCTTGATCTGTTAGGGATGGCCAATCCCTAAGATAACTAACTTATAATGTTTTTATGTTATCATTGTAAAGTTTAAGCCTTATTTTCGCGCTTCTTTGAATGTATTGATGAAGCGCTGTGCTTGTCCATTAGACTGAGGGTGGTATGGTAGTGATGGCACGTCAACGACAGAAGTCTTTAAATTCCGTAGAGGTAAACTGGGGGCCGTTGTCAGAAACGATAGGTCCTGGAAGGCCGTGGCAACAGAAGATATTGGAGAGGGTTTTTAACGTTCTTGTGGTATTCGGGGGATTGATAAGTGCGATTTCTGGCCATTTCGAGTAGGCGTCTACCGAAATAAGGTAATGGTTTCCATCAGTCGGTCCGGCGCAATCAACATGAACTCTCGACCATGGGCGTTTGGGCTCTGGCCAAAGCACGGATGATAGTCGTGGAGGATGCTTGGCGGCTTGTTGACATTCTAAACACCGGTTGACATAGTCTGTAATTTATTGATCCATCCACGGCTAATATACACGTAGCTGCGAGCGATTGACTTCATGCGTTCGATACCAGGGTGACCCGAATGAAACTGATTTACGATTTGGTCGCGAAGAGATATAAGGACTATGACCCGGTTTTCAAACATGAAGCAGTCGTTGACAATACACAGGGAGTTTCGGCGATGGTGTACCTGTTGGAGATCACCTGTGAACGTTTCTTTCGGCCATCGAGTGAGAACAAACTGGATTACCTTTGCGTGTAGCCATCTGGATAGTGTCTGCAGTAACTGGAAACGCTCTGATGGCTACGGTTAAGTCAAAGGCTGCGAAATCGTCTGTTGAAACTGTTGCAATAACTTTTTCTTCGTTGGTCGTACGATATTCGCTAATAAGACGGGACTAGGCGTCGGCTTGGCCAAATTCTTGGGTGCGTCGGAACTGAATGTCAAAATCATATCCTAGTAACGTTAGGGCCCATCGTTGTAGACGGTTTGCAGAGTAAGCCGGAACACCAGATTTCGAGCTAAAAACAGCCAGCATCGGTTTATAATCTGTAAGTAGCGTAAATTTGCGGCTATAGACCAGCTTATGGAAACGACGGACGGCGAAAACAATGGCCAGGGCTTCTTTCTCAGTTTGACTATATTTCCCCTCTGAGATAGACAGTATTCGAGAAGCATGCATGATGATCCTACTGTACTTCCCTATATTAGGTCACTGTTGAAATGGAAGTAATTCGTCGTATAAGGCGTATTTTTACTGATGTAATATCGGCATAATATATTAGAACAGTTGACGAAACAGACAAATATTTCGTATTATCAACACTAGATACAGTTTGTATTTGTGTAAGTCACAGCGTCTTTGAAATGAAATAATTCCAACGTTTCGCACGCATATCTGGTCCGAGCTTCTTCAGGGAAATAATCAAAATTAAAATATCAAGCATACATAAACGGATCCGAAGACGTGTATTATTTAGTGTTTCACTTAGCGCTCAATGTTTCACTTACTGTTCGGTCGAATCTTGATCATAGTTCATATGACTTTCGTATTGTCCCTCAACGTTTCAACCTGGGTGACTTTAAAGGTCACCCTAGCAACTTTTGAGATAACCAATTAAGTTCATTTATTTGATACAAAACTACCTTTTTGTCCGGAATACTGAAACCTGATTCATTATTTCGGCAGTTGTCACGGTGACCTTTAAAGTCGCTCAAACTTAATTTTAGATTCATACTCTTGGGAAGCATCATCCTAGCAAGATCAAAGAGAGACTTTAAAGGCCACCCTGGCAACTGCTGAAATAACCAATCAGGTTTCAGTGTTCCGAGTGGAGAGGTAGTTTGTATAAAATACAGGAATTCAATTGGTTATCTCAATAGTTGCTAGGGCGTCCTTTAAAGTCAACCTTAGGTTTTCAGGTTAATAATAAAGTTTTGTCACAGATGGTGACGCTTACGGCCATCCAATTACACCGTGATATAGAACAAAGACCAATATGAGGTAGGTGAGTAAATTAGCAAATCAGTCACTTTTTCCAGTTGTGCAAGCTGGAACAAAAGTAGGGTGGGGAAATTTAGTTCAAGTATGAAAAGTACAATACAGTTGTGTCATCAGATGAGAAAAAATAAATTACTATTTTGGAGAGATGAATATTTGAACATCGAACAATATATAATACTGGGCCATGGTTAAGGGTGAAATGAAAATCTGGACTGCGGCCGGATCTGAACCAGCGACCACCGCGTTTCCCTCCTGGAGCTCTACCAACTGAGCTACGAGGCCTGACTGCTGACCAAATTTTTTATTTCACTCCGATCACCAAGAATTTCGCCCGACTACCATATGAATTTGTGACGCGGTACTACCACTTGATCATACACTAGTTGCCCAGTGAGGACTTCTCATCCCAATCAAAGTCTACTTGAATTAGAGAGATGGATGAAGCATCATTTGACTTTCTGAGATAGTCGTGATTTGGCAGACTAGTATCACCGATACTGAGTGATGATTGAAGGTGAGATGGAAATCTGGACCGCGGTCGGACTGAAAGCAGTGAACAATCGGGTTTCCGCCCCAGTGCTCTACCAACTGAACTGCTAAGACCCCTTATCTTTATCAGCATGTGTATATACGTTGATGCAACTTGTTATTCACTCTCCTGGCCTTCTTTTGCATAGACGTTAATGAGTTCCCTTTAAACATGAGCAAAATTCTAACGGGACGAATGAATCTGAGTATATCTCCTGCGGTGAATCAGTCTTTTCGTAGATCTCACGACAAATCTACGAATATAAAACTTCGACTGTAGCTAGAACTGTGATGAGCTGAATCGCTTCTGTCTTACCACTTAAGCATCAATAGAGACATGTTGGATGGATAAATTGGAATCGGTGTTACTAGTAAATGTAGAAACTTCCACTTCTTTTTCACGATACTGTAAACTGAATGACTGTTGATATATGATTACATAAACAAAATACGCTGATGTCTTGGATTATGAAGTCAGCCCATATGTAGGGGAGCCGAGTCGATTAAGCAGTCATTTCAATGGCTTCACAAGTGTGATGGTTCTTGGATGATATGCTGCCGAAACTGAAACTAAGTTTCCTTACTTAACCAATGTTTCGATTATGCGTAAAGGATAAGCTTTCTCCCTTGACCACATCAATGTGTGTTTATCAATTCAACTGCTCCTGTGGAGTAAGGTTTACTAACCGTACTCATCGTTCTCTTTCCAAACGCATTTCCAAACATATACCAGGCTGATTCCACAAAGGAGAAAGGAAAACACTTCACAGCTCTACTTTAGAACATTTGATTGATTATAACCATCCGGTCAATGCAGAAAACAACTTCAGTGTCATCTATGAAGTTCGTGCAAATCTCGTGAAAGGTGTACGCCTAAAGCTTCTTCAAACTACGGAAGCCATGAAGCTTGAACTCTGCGTTGAAAAGAAATCTGATTTATAATCAAATCTTAACTTCGTTCAAAATATTTCATGAAACATTTCTTTTTCTGTTGCTATATTAATTGAATATTTATGTGTAGTTTTTCAGCTTCAGGATGATATCTCTGAAAAGAGTGACTCTTCGCTAAACGTCTTTATTTGGTTTGCTGCAGTTGTTACCACATGACCTGTTCTAAATCACCACTCCAAAGAAACTGTGGAATAGCATCACAGTTGCAGTAGATGCATACTGACTCGCCTCATTATTGGAGTGACTCTAAAGGCCATCTTCACAGCTAATGAAATAGTCAATACGGTTGCCCTTATTTTATCAAAAACTAGATTTCTAGCGGGAATAATAAAGAAACTTGATTGTTTATTCCATCAGTTGTTGGAGTAGTATTTAAAGTCACTCCATTACTGCGCACAAGATCCTACTACTAGCCTACTAGAGTCATTCATTTGTATCAAATCTGTAATGATTGAGTGACTTTGAACGCCACCCTAGTGACCAGTGAAACGACCAATCAGGTTTCGATATTTCACCTAAGGGGCAGTTTATCATGAAATAATGATAATTAGTTATCTCAATCGTTACTAGGGCTGTCCAATCCAATGTTTTGGTACGCCTTATCAGTAGGCTTGATGACGTTTTTAACAAAGAAAGGCAAGAACCTAATTGAGAAAGCCTATATATACTGAAGATATGTCAACGATATCCTAGTTATATGTGATAACTGAAGTCAGCCCAGTTCAATTCTGATCTTATTGAATGAAGTGCAGAGCAACATATCGACGTGTGTAGAAGGGGCTGATGATTGCTTGTCTTTCTTGAACATATTAATTACTCGACGTCAGAATGTATCCATAAAACGATCTACAGAAAACTTACATGGACAGGGCAATATTTGAATTATCATAGCTTTTGTTCAGTTCAGTACAAGCGAGCGTTAGTTTTGTGCTTATTCAGTAGAACCCAATGAATATGCACAGATGATACTTTAGAAGACGAGAGAACATTGACTGAAACACTTTTGGGAAATAACTGCCCATGAAAATTTATTATCCAGCACAAAATAGTCAGACAGCTGAAACCTGCTCTTTTTGTCCCGAAGAAGGATTTTTTTCATCTGTCTGCAATTCTTAAGCAGAGATTTAACGCTGTTGTTAGAAGGACTTACTGTCCCGCTAGGGTTCGATTAATAAGAACCACCAAACCTGTATACTCGCCCAAATCCTTACACCATGTGAATGACAATATCACATTACATTCCATCTACCAATTCAAATGTGTGTTGGTTGACACATACATATGGAGGACTCATAGATCCATGCAAATTACAGCTTCGCGGCATGTTCCAAAATAACCTCAGAATCACCTGAACTCATAAACATTGGTGACAAACGTTCAAGTTCTTCGATCGCGAAACATGGTTGACACAGGTCGCAGGATTGACGTCGCTACTTCCTTTACACCTATTTACAAAACGTGTTGGGAACGGATCCTTAAATTTGTTGAGGCCTTAGGTATTAGGAAGATTAAACCACCTTTGTATGTTCAAAAACAATTTGTGATCACATTAAATCTCCCTTGGTGAGTTCAACTATGGAAACCAAGTTCAATGTACTATTATTTTCGCTCTATTGATTTTCATTGTTATTTAACCTTTAATTTAGCCTTCCTACTTGGTTTCTTTTCATATTCTCATCCCTTATCTTTATGAATTCTCATATAAATATCTATGGTAAGTGTATGTGTGTATGATCAGGTTGTTCGAAGTGTATTCAGACAATTTACTGCTTATTGTTTTGTTGAAATCTATAAAGGGAACTAATTATTTTAAAATTCTTTATTTTATTAAGAAAATTACCTTTGAAACCGAAATTGAGAAGCGTAATTCGTTATTTCAATGGTTTCTAGGGTGACCTTTAGAGTCACTCCTTTAATCTGAAGGAAAAATTTCATTATCTTGTTGCTTTTATGTTACTATTCTCATTGATTATCCCTATCGTGTGCTAATACGACTGATATTATAATCTTACTGGCTGTTCATTGAAATGCTTCCATAAACACACGTGTTTATCATTATGTAATCCAGCTGGATTAAACCGTTTGGCGATTCAAAATTCGTGTGGATACGCAGGTTTCAGTTCTTGTTCTACGTTCATATATGTGAGAATTCTAGGCTTGACTGTATGGACCAGGGGTTCTATTACTGATTATCAACTATCTGTTCACAGTCGGTTATCTTTCAAAAGTCAAGTCCTGGTGTTCGTTATTTGAAAGAATGGCGATTTTAGAACTTGGTTGTAGGTTTTGTATGTATCTCATCGCATGGAGAATACATGTTTCCCCAGAAACTGCAACCTACATTGTTGAGACTTCCAGTCAAAGAAGTTACCATTAAACTATTCAGTTGTTGGATGCGAGTTTCAGCTCAGTGGTTGATCATACGTCCTAGATATGTACGATTAATATCAATGAATATGGTCTCAATGTCCAATTAGTCGCCATTTAAGGCTCCAGCCAGTCTGTCACGATTTTTCCCTGATCAATTAAAATCTTGACTTTGAATTTTTCTCTGCCTTGCAGACAACATATGCAGAAACGGTCGTTAGACATGTAATAACAGAATCCAACTGGAGCGGATATTCATCTCCATTTATCATAATTGAAAAGTTATCTTCATCCAAGCATTGATACTTATTTTAAACAGCGTTAGAAAAGTGTTCGATGTTCAAGCTTCTTCAGTCCTCATTTTATCCACTTTCAGTGAATATCTTTAATTTACTTGAACTAGAACGAAATGCATTGATCATATTCACACTCGATATTTAGTGATCAAGTAGACATTTCGTTACTACTGATAGCATACACTGGTCAGTGACAACTGATACTTCATCAGTGAATAGTCTACCCTAACTTCTTGGGAGATACTATGACTCTTGCGGGTGGCCAAATGCCCCGCCGTAGTTACGTACCAGGACGTCAACGTGAAGCAGCGCGATCGATTGAACTTCTGACCAAGAAAACTGTAGATGACATATGCACTGGTGATTACTGGTCGACCGTAGTTACGCGACGATGGTGAGCGGCTCCACGAGATTTGAACCAATGCACTGTCATAGCTGACTTAGCGATAATGGCGGTTGATGAGGTATTATGTGCGCTGATCAGCGGCACGGTTCTACAAAGCACGGATGAGCCAGATGGCCATCAGGATTCCGCGCAGTGCTGTGGGAGCAGTACAACTGAAAAGTAAGCGGATCCAGTTTCCTAATTCCAGTAGTCACTGTCGTTGAAGCAGTCCCAAGAGAGTTGGTCTGGTCATTATCGCTAAGGTGGTTGGTATTCGGTCAGGAATGTCTGGTATCGTTTTGTTGTAGCCTTGGTTTATAGAAAGTAGCCTGGACGCCGCCTCTGTGTCTGAAATGTTAGTAAAAGGAGGATAATCTTCCAGGAGGGTGAGTTGCGCAGCTGTCTGCAAGATTATGGAGACTCAAAGAAACATACCCTGGACATCTGCCCTTGTGGAGGTGCGTACGTTCAAACGATCCGATGCTTTGAAACCTGGTAGTGGGAAGGGCTTTAGGATTCACTGATCGGTTTTGAAAGAAGGTTAACAGGGTGATCTGGCAGGAGTACTTTTTCCATGTGGTTGCGTTGCTGTAGGTTATTCCTTTTAGGTGAGGGGGACCTATCCCCCAGGTTTTGAGTACAATGACGTCTAAACAAACGAGGTTTGTTCCGGAACTAAGAGGTGGTCCGAAAATCAGCGTAAAACTCTCCTAGGGTATATCATTTATTCACTTACTACCTAAAATTGACTGTCTGTATCTGGATCTTGTAACCTTGCTATTTCTACTTAGTTTGAAAGTAGTTGAATGTGTATAAATCCCAATTGATTTTAGGGGAGTTGCTTTACCAGCTAGGAACCCTGAAAATGAGTGAACTGGTGGAGGAACACGCCATGTGACCTTCATAAAGGATGTTATGTGGAAGATGCATATCTTCTTAGAAATCATTAACACATTATCTGATACCTTATTTGTGTTTGGTGTATTTATGTCTTCTTTCTAGTCCTTAGTTTGAAGCTTGAGGAATTCTTGACAGTCTTGTCCTGCATAAGTTAATGTTTTGAGCTAATACCACTGTGACAATCGTTCCAGTCAGTCGATTGGATAACCATTTCGAAAGTACATTTACCAGCTAAAGCTAAAATATACTTAACTACTGATATTATTTGTTAGTAGGTAAATTGAATAAGTGAAATTACTCACTCGACAAACTTTCTGGGATGAATGGAACTCACTGTATCGACATGAAATGTCACAATGATCATGAATAACAGGGAGAAAAAACCAAAAGACATGCCCGAAACAATCAGCACTTGGTACATATATGTGTAAAACAACTTTTTGAAACTGATATAATGTGGACATAAACAAGTTTACTGCAGTCTATATAAACTGCCATAAAGGATAATTATTAAAAACACCAATATACGCAAGTGTAATAACGGCATACTAAAGCTCGAAAATGCATTAGAAAGTTTGTATGCATTAACGCTTACTGCTCAACCTACTATCGTGTTGTCGACGCAAAGTTGACTGATATACCGGTGGTTCATTTTTACAGCACAGTCTGTAGATGAAATGTAGAAATCGTTGTCTAAAATTTCGTAAAAATATTAGATATAAGAAAAAGTTCACTGCATAAGTGATATCTTTAGCAGAAGAGAAAAATCGAGACAAGTCAATAATACACACTGCATACGGTTTATGCCTATCGATATGCAGTAATGTCTGCCTCAAACGAATCAATACAACACATACCATTGGCAGATACAATAATAAGAATGCGGTACTCAAGGCCAAATGACCAAAAACTCGTCCCATCTCCGTACGATTTCGACAAGAATCCATTGGTAGGAGTGTTTCACGATTTACTTTCAAAGTCCACAATTGTATACAAATAAAAGTGTTTAAAAATAACACTAAACAAAATGGTATTGTGAAGGTGATGATTGTCTCAAATGCTATGGTGAATTTCGCTATTGGATGCTCAGAAATCATTCGACAGGTGAAATTTGTACGGCTTGATGGATCACTCATTAAAGTTTGAACAGATAACAGTGGTGAATTACTAATTATTCCTATCAGAAAAATGATAATACACGCAACTAGAGCCCAACGTTTATGGTATATTGAATAGAATTTTATAGGTTGATGAATAGTTAACAGTCGATCAATTGAAAAAATAACAACAAGATAAGATGAAGTGAAGTACATTGCATTCGATATATACTCGACACTTTTACACCAGAATTCTGAGGTAGTATCCAATTTATAATAGAAGTGATGTTTTGTTGCAAATGATAGACCACGTCCGAGAAAATCATCAATGAATGTATTCATAACCAATGTGATAATATTTGCTATAGATAAGGAAATAGCATAAATTGAAAATCTTGAACGCGGTTTCTCTTGAGCGAATATTGCAATAATGAAAATATTTCCTATTAAACCGATAACTGCAATTATTGGGCATACATAGGCTCGAAAACTTCCCACTAGATAACTACAATCCGTTGTGTTATGAATGATCATATTATTCTGTAGAATTAACGCACTTCAACATAAGATATCACTTGTGTTAGATAATCGCATTCTGACTATCACTTCAAATTAATATGTAAAGTTATATTTTCACTATTTGAACACATTTCATAAATGTACTCTGAAAATCGATTAATTTTCCTTAAATTATCCAATCAGATTCATTTCAAGAATGCAACATATTCAAACATTAGATAGTTCAACTTACTTATTGATTTGTAAGTAATCGATTTAGTCAGACTGAGCAAAACTCAACTATAAGTTACTTGAAATACTAAGTATGTTAGTGGGAGACGTTTTATTACATTCATCGAAATGGATTATTTTTCTATGAATATATATGATAATTGTATGAAGATAACTCACTTTTAAACTCAGACTGAATGTGTAACTATTGGGCGCGTGAGTAAGAATCGAATGATCCACATTTCTCTACTTCTGTCACTGCACGCTTATTAGTGTATTCGATTCCACAGATGACGGTTGCCTATTAAGATTCTTGTATTCTAGGTAGTAATTGGATTGTCCAATAGCATTGTAAAGAGGAGGGGGTCAACCGAACGACGCTCACTGAAAGCGCTGAATGATGATCAAGTTACCTGATGAAATGATAGAAGTAGGGAAATGTAGACTGATTGGTCAAGTGATAGTGTGGTTGCTGCAAGACTTGACACTCTTAGGTTGGACCCCATGTGAGGACTTCAATTAGCGCTGCTGGTTTTATTCTTCAAAACTCAGTGGTAATAAGACTATCATAATCCATTATCAATGGGTATTTCATAAGTTATTGCTAAAGAGAACATCACTATCAAAAACTATGAACCGTGATTATAGGTTGCATTAACAATCGGACTGAAATGATCATTAAATCCATAGTCTGTGATGAGATGAGGAATTCGGTGAAATTGAAGTTCATTGCGAAACTGAAATATTAAGATTAAGAACTGATTTATTTGTTACAAATGGAGGTGTAAAAAATTGAGCCCCCACTCATCCACTAGTGATGTAGTTGTTTACATTTTGGCGTTTGAAGCGATAGGCTGTGGGTTCGAGTCTCCGCGGGAACAACACTACTTGCTGGGGTGCAGGTACATCCAGTTGACGTAGTCCTAGATAGGATGAACCACGCGTCCTGGACTCCACTGCCAGCCAGAAGCAACCGAAGTTGCAACAATAATGAGTTTACGCTAATTCTTCTGAAATACTAACTTGTTAATAAAAACTGGTAAGTTCCATCTAGAAATAACAACTAGTAACCAGATTAAGTTAGGGTAAATATTCAACAACTATTGAATTATTGCGGTAGGCTTTGATTCAGAACAGACATAAAATTAGTCTGAATGCTGATCGATTTGTGTACGTATCTTTCGGTCGATAATAGATGGTATTTATCATGTTGTAATAGAAATAAACCTTTATAAGCATGTACGTGTATGTCGCGTTTCAGTCATTGAAATTTCTCTCATCCATTTGACAATATAACTCATTTCATTCAACCGAATATCTATCGTAAACATGAGAATTCCCAGTTAACTATAAATCGAGTATCATAGAATCGTACTCCAACGTAAATAAGATTGAACATTCAGTAGTATTCCATAATATAGACTCTTAGACTAGTGAAGAAAGAACATGAATGATGTTTACTACTGTTTGCGTTTTGAGCATTCAAGTAATTCATACTACGAGTAACTCCAAAGCCCAACTCAGCAACTACTGAAGTAACTAAATTAATTTTTTTTCTATTTCACCTGAAAGGTGTTGTTTTTATACAAAGTAAAGAGCCTGTTTAATTAGTTGTTTGGGTGGCCTTTAGAGTCGGACGCCTTTAACAGCGTTTGAAATGACCAATTAGGTTTCTCGATTTCTGCTGGGAAGTTAGATTTTCATAAAAATGCAGAAGTCTTATTGGTTATTTCAGTTGTTGCTGGGGTGACCTTTAAAGCCACTCTTTAGAGTCACTCATGACTTTAAAGGTGCCACCCCAACAACTATTCAAATAGGCAATTAGATTTCTGTGTTTTATGAAAAAAATACCTTTCTTGGGGAAATACAGAAACTTGCCTTATGGTTGCTAGGGTAGCCTGAAGATTCACTCAGAGTCACTCTCGCCTGATTTAATAAATAGTCCAAATATCTTGTTAAATGCCTGGGTATGTCCAATTAATCCAGCTTGCTTTTAACAGTGTGCGTTCTTGAACATACATACTGACATGTTTTGCGATTAATTGATTATCATTCTCGGAAGAATAAACTCTCTCATCCAACTTCAGTTTCTCTCTACTCGTCCCGGATTGCAGTCGGTGGCTCTGGGATACGAAGTTAGCTGTCAGTTAAGTGTATATAACACATCGGATGCCTGTTTCGTCATGCTTTTTGACTCTTAAGCAGTGGATACGGGGACGAAGTAGTTGTCCAGGGCTTACAGGACATCATCATCATCATCATCAGTGGTCAGCTAAATGATATCAATCCATGATGAAAAATCCTTTGAATTGAAATGAAATCACGATTAGAAATATTCTCAATTGTTTATTAATTGTTCCTACAACTATAATTGTTTAGAAAGACAACTTCAGAAGTTAAGCTAAGACTTTCTGAGTTTTCAAGTTTATAATTACATTGCCAACCAGGGAAAAATCTGTCACGTTAAACTTGGAATGCTAATTTTATTGTAAATTTATAATTTGATTGAAGGGGATTAGAACTAAGGTTACGGTAATGGTTTTAGAGTGCGCACTACGAACTGGTAAAATTTTTGAATGCGTACTTTTCTAATTATTTTTTTAACGCTGATTTGTCACGTAGTCACTGCAGCATATAATAGCTGTCTTGTGAGTAGCTTTAAAGGCTCCCCGCCCCCTCCTAACAACTGCTGAGATAACCAATTACGTTTCTATATTGTATGAAAAACTACTTTCTTAATTGCTAGGAGAGACTAGAAAAAGTCAATGTCTTGAATGACTCTAAACTCCAGCCAAACTGCAACTGAAATAACCAACCAGGTTTCTTTATTACAGCTGGAAAGGCAACTTTTCATTAAATACAGAAGTTTAATTGAGCATTTCAGTAGTTGTTAGGCTGGCCTTTAAAGTCACTCTACGCACAAGAGGAATATCTACATTATGCACATCAATTCATAGAAATGAAACAATTGATTTCATGCTCAGAAAATGGAACATGGAGTTATTTTGGAAATGAGTCAGAGATCAATAAAAACTTATTAAATCGAGTTATACAATAATTCTACTGAATAAGTTTTATTACTGGGTGATGACTGAAGATTAAATAAAAATTGAGGTCTCAGCCGAATTCGAACAGGCCACCACCGGGGTTTCCAGCCCACTACTTTACCAACTGAGCTACGGGGTCCAACTGCTGACCAGATTTTTGTTTCATTTTAATCACCAAGAGTTTTGCTCGACTATCATATGAATTTGTGATGCGTTACTACCAGTTGATCGTACTCACATTGGCTGCCTAGTCGGGATTTCTCATCCCAATTGAAATCTACTTAAATTAGAGAGATGGATGAAGCATCATATTGACTATAGGAAAAGACAAGACATGATTACAGCGAAGAAAAACTTTTCTTTTTGACGATGTAATTTACTAAGTTGTACGATCGTGAATATATGTTACAGTGGGTCAGAACGTTCCAGAATTCTTTCCGGTTAGGGGGCAAAATATATTGAATAACTAAAGGAAGTTAATTAGTACACATTTGGGTTTAGAGTGGGAAAACAGACAAGGGGTTATGAAATTAAATATAATTATGCAATATAGGATGAATGTAAGGCTGTTGACGGACAGCTGCATATACTTCGATGAGCTCTAATAGAAAACGGCTTCCCGCTCAGATTCATAGATAAGAACAAAAAGCCAAAGAACCTACCTCAATAAACGCATTTATTCCAGCAGATGCTAACTGAAAACCTTGCGTGATAGTCGCGCTATGTCGTGAATTGACAGAAGTTGGAAATTGTGAACCAAAGGAAGCTGACCCAGTGGCTGAATGGTCGACGCGTTCGCCATGAAACCTGAAGGTTGTGAGTTCGACCCCTAGTCGGGTCAAGGGTCCGTACAGCTGAGGAGTCCCACACTAGGGCGAAGGAGTTGTCCAGTGCCCCTGGGTTTCCAATGATTCCCCAACTGATGTCAGTCCATGATGAATAATACTCCTAAATTATTCTACTATGTGTCCTTTGGGTTCCCCCGGGGAACATAGGGCTTCAGTAGCACATAGCCATTTCACTCTCTCCTCTCCAGTCTTCTCAACTTGTCTCCACGACTACCCATAAGCTTTCATTTCTTTCTTACATGATCTCCTCCATGTCACCCTCACCTCGGACGCCCAACTCGTTGTTTCCCATTTGGATTCCACTCGAGGGTCTGGCGTGATGTCCCGAATCGGTCTTCTCAGTATATATCAAATCCATCTCCACTTTCTTCTGCATATTTGTTCGGTGATGGCTTATTGGTTGATTTGTTGGAACTTAGCCACAGTTGCTTGTAAGAATAAGAAGGCAAATAAATATTGACAAAACAGACGGGGGGAGATTCCAAATTAGATTTGCTTATTTGGTTTATTGCACATAGGGATACAACCTTATTTACTTGACATTTCCAGCCTAAATTATTATTGCTCATAATCATCAACGTAATCACACTATTTTCGACATCTGATTTTTATAGTCCTATTACCTCATATTCTTCGTTTCTATTGTTAGTAAAATTTTCCATATCTCTGGTATAGATGTTGCGTCATTCCCATTACATGTGTTAGTAGGATGTAGATTCGATGAACAAAGACACAGTAATCAATCTGCCTCTCTCCCTACCTAATTATATTGGGCTTAAGTATAGGGAGTTTTATCCCACCCTATTGTGTGGTTGTGTGTTAATGCATGCATTCCAATGGCCGACGTTTTTCTAGCTTACTGATTCTATTGGGATCTGTCATTCTATATTTAGCTAAATTTCTATGTTCT